GACTTCAGTGGATTAAAAACACTGTCACTGATCTACAGAGAGGTGGGGAAAAAGTGAAAGGGTCAGATGAGACATCCTTCACATCATGTGCTGTGTGGAGCACACAAGGAGAGCAGTACAGGCTAGAATACTGAACCTCTGCAGTGAGGGGATCATTTTAAAGAAATAGTTTGGGTCCACCTGTCTCCTTAAAGGGTCACTACAAATGAATGCGAAGTTATTCTGACTGATCAACTTTGTCCTAACATTTCTATCCTGATGGGAGTGGTCATTTCTAGGATGATGGTACAGGACACGAGGGGTCACTAAATGGTTTAATGAGTATGAAAATCATATATTTCAGCCTTCGCATTCAACAGATTTCAACCCAGTTGATCACCTATGGGAGATTTTGCACTAACGTGTTAGACATCACTCTTTACCCCCATCATCATCCTTCCAGTACAGTTCCAGAGACTTGTAAGATCTACGACAAGGTGCATTGAAACTGTTCTTGCGACTTTTGGGGGCCCCACATTTTACTAAGACGCTTTGTTGGTTTTTCTTGAAATTTGTCACCTGGCTGTTGGAGTTATAATTAGGACAATCTGGTTTTCTTACCCTCTGTGTGGTGTTTACCCTGATAGATAAATTGGGATGTGCACACACACCCCCTCTGATCTCTGCTCTGGATCAAAGAACGGGGTTGTTTTCACAGGTAAAGTGACCCTCATGTTCCCCGGGAGGGCTGCGCTATTTGATATGGCTTTAGAGGATGGAAAGAGAGGCGAAAAAAGGCGTGAGATTAAGAAAGAAAACGCATTGACCTCTCATGACCTCATGACGACCCAATTTACGACTTGTTAGTATGCAGGTGTATTTGTGTTTGTTATTGTGCATTGATAGGAAAAAAAAATGTCCTCACTGTAGTAAACCCAGAGAAAAACGGGGCTTGCTCCGGTTCACAGAAGAGGCTCTAAAGGTGTGGTATGCAGGGCTGTGCCATGTGCCTTAACCCCCTTTGCTAAAGGGACTTTAAATGATGTTGTTTGTGTTGTTGTTCCTTGGTTTAAAGTGTGTATGTGTTGCATGTGGTTATTGTGCTGGGATGTGGGTTTAGCTAGTGTAGGTTAAGTGTCTTCTTAAGGGTGGAGTTGCATGGTTAGAAGTGACCTTCCATGAAAACAGGTTGTTATGTATGTGCCTTTATCCGCTGACGTTTATATATGTTTATATATATATATATGTTTATATATATATATATATATATATATATATATATATATATATCAAATAAATACTTAGATCATGAAAAGCTGAAAATGCAACCAACTTTTAAGACTGAACTTTGAACAAGTTTACAAAGAAGAAAAAAAAAAATAATATATATATATACTTTTTTTTTTCTTTGTAAACAAGTATTTTATTCTGATTTGGTTGTTTTTGTCTGTAATAGCTTTGGCAGCTAAACATCCTCAGTGTTGAGTTGACTTTGCACAGTGGAAGGATGGACAGAAACACCTGTGGATTTATTCAGATCTGAAGTGAAAGTGGAGCTTGGTTTTCTCCTCTCTCTCAAAGATGAAAACTTTTAGGTACTGTTTATCTGATCGGGAAGGTTTTGGTGGTCTACCAGGTCTTGCACTGTTAGGAGTCTCATTTTCTTTGTGTCTTTTAATAATTTTTTGAGCTCCAGTTTTCGAGATTCCTGTTTTTTTCCTTCGACTTTTCTGCTTCCTTATGCATGTGGATCTTATGTCTAATCTCCTTAGAAATCTCTCTCTTATCCATTTTAGATGCGGATGCTGAGCTGTTTGGGTAAATAGCTTGTGTGAATGTTAGCGTCTTATTGGAGGGGACATAATGTCAGTGACTCCTTTGGGAACAGCTTTCATTGAGTAGACACAGCTGTAACTGGTTGGTTTTGATATTGGAAGGATGGAAAAGCTAAAGTGTCAGTAGAGTGCACAAACGTGAAGAGCAGACAAATTAAATACTGATAGGTTTGATATTTTAGTTGGTGTTACATTTTCTGTTAAATGTGATGTGTGATGTTGAAAAATGAAAAACTTAATGGCTATTTTGACTAAAATTAATACATGAAGTATGGTCTCTGAATTTTGCTCAGTACTGTTTGTAAGACCCTATTAAGTAGAGTTGCACCCGTGTGCATATGATGGGTTTTTCGTGATGCCCAAAATTTAGGATGAAAGCCATGTCACTGCAGCTTTCCTGCTGCAGCACTTTTTTTATTCCTGATGTTGCATAACTAAGCACAGTAGCGCACACACTCATACTTTCACACACATTTTGTGATCTGCTGTCTCACTCAGTTCAGAGTAAAGGCCTCAGAATCCCTGACCCCCTGTTCACTCATGCTGACTCACCCCACTGTGTGTGTTTAGGTTGAGGTAGCATCAGCTCTGTCTAAGCTGTTGTTCTTTTATTGTACAGTAGAGGGCACTCCCCCATTACCATAAAACATTATGCTGTCTGTGCTGAGGCCGAAACCAAGACAGCATACCCTTCTCAATATTTGAATATATGATTACAAGTATTTTTTTTTTCTTTTCTTTATTTTCCTTAACAGTCATGTTTTGCGAACAAGGTTTCATTTATTATATAATAATAAGTGGTGGATATCGGTTGAGATTGATGCTGGATTGATAGCAGTTGTGGTTGAGGTGATTATATCAGGTTGAAGCAAATTTTATGCATGCTTTGTGATAAATTGCCAGTAGACATTTAAGGCCATGTTCTTTTCATTAGATTGAATTCAAGCACTACATTGGAGGTGATGCTCTGGAGGGGGGTGGGTTGCCATAGTTACAATATGGAATGAAAAAACCCTTTGTAGGAGAGCCGTCAGCCGTTGCCATAGCAACTTTGCCAGTCTTGGGAGACATTGCGAGGGTTACCATGCCAACCATGTTACACCCTTCCAGTTGGCAACCTCAGAACGGTGACTGACACTGCAGAGAGGGTCCTGCAGTGCTTCTCTTAGCTCCGTCCAGGCTCAGCACTGCTGCCAGTGCACACTCTAAGGACGGCCCAACAATTTTGGGCCAAAAACCGAAAGTGTTGTTTGTCGCATCAAAAATGTTCAGTCAGCAAAATAAAAATGCGGTAAATTTTGCCTGCAAATGTTGCCTTGTTCCTTTTTTTCCCTCCTACAATGTTGATTATGAAAAATATGATGGAAACTTTTCCCATTTTTTTTATGTGTTCTGAATGACAGTTTTGTCATTTTTCTCTGCTGATACAGATACTTATTCAACTACCTGAACTCAGTACTGATATGATACCAGTGCTTTTTTTCTTCTTCAGTTTAAAAACTGTGCTTTGGAATAGTTCTGCATAAGGTAACATGAGGCTTTAACTACACATTGCGTTTTAATTAGGGATGGGCGATAGTAGTAAATTCATATCTGTATTGGCAGATAACTACTTAAAAACTATTATTAGCATAGGGCAGATGTTTAGATTCAAGCAACCAGTGTTTCCCACAGGATTTTGTGAGACTATGGTGTGTGTGTGTGTGTGTGTGTGTGTGTGTGTGTGTGTGTGTGTGTGTATGTGGACCTCACTCAGACCCTCTAGGGGGGGTGCAGGGGCCTGCTCCTCCAGAAGAAAATTTTATATATTTTAAAGTTGCTAAAAGGTCACGCCCACAAAGCATAGTAAAGGAGTTTACCAGTTCACAAATGGTCAAAACAGAAAAAAACAGCTAGAGCATACATTTCATCCTTCAAAAAAACAAAGCAGAAGTGGTTACCTGTGTTCAACTGGTTTATTTTCAAATTTTTTTTTAGAAAATATAGAATACTGAATAGAGAATATGCAGAATAATTTAATAATAGACCTATTTTAGCCGAGCCTAACTGTAGAACGTAGGGTTGGGCGATGCAACGAGATGTCCACAAGCTCTCGTTTCGATCTTGTATGTTTGCCTCTGCGCCAGTTCTTAACAAAAAAAATCACATCTCAGAATTCACTGAAATATTACAGTAGCTCTATTTGGAGCACGTAATCGTATTTTGAAGGACGAAAATACGCAGCTGGATGTGTTGGCAGCATTGATGTCAACTTTTTGACTCAAACAGTCTAAAACTGATGAGAGTTGTACACACTGGTACAAACATTACCACTCCCTAACTAAGCTATAGTTGGACTAACGTTAGTTATCATTGGTAACTTCTGCATTGGCATTATCTGTTCGCTGTCTTGCACTGATAACGAGAAGATTGTGTTCGGCGGGACAAATTAGACAATGGCAGACCATCACATTTCAGAAACATTCAATTATGTAAAGAGCTTAAATTATTTGCGTATCACTGCATTCTGTTTTTATTTATATTTCGCACATTTTCTATATTATCTGCATAATAATGGACATAAAATGTATGGATATGGTTTGTGGCAGTTTTGTGAGAATGACCTATTTTCACAGCGACTAAGAACAGTATTGAATGTGGGTCAGTGATGTCTGTCCGACGTCCATTTGCTAGGGTCAATATCAGTGCTAATGCCAGTTTAGTATATCAGATCTTTGCATTACTAGTTTTGGCCAAGAAATTAAATTTTATTGCTTTACCAATTTATTTTTTGCTGTTTGATTCATATGTGCCATGTTTGATGGCAGTAGCTCAGTGAGTACAGGCACTGCTCCAGTGAGCTGCAGGTTTGATTCCCTGTCCAGTGCTTCAGGTGATGCTGATGTAGCGTAGATCACTGCCTTTGTGACCTTGAGTGAGACAGTCGAATCCCATAGTTCAGAATGTCATTTGCAGGATTAAATAAATGCAGGCAGTGGTTACCATGGAGACTATTCACAAGATGACCGTGACAGTTTGATGACGCATAGGAAATGGGGGAGAAGTTTCAGTATAGCATGTTTACGTAGGGTGACGCCTTAGAGTTGTCATGGTGACAGGAGATAAGATTGTGACTTGTGAGATGGGAGAAATTAATAGGCTGTCACAGAATGAGAGCAATAATTTGTTTGTGTGTCTGTGTAACAGATGGAGCAGGTATCAGATGATGAGTTGGACCATGCTGCTGAGGAGGACAGCGACAAGGAGGATCAAGACTTGGACAAAATGTTTGGGGCCTGGCTGGGAGAGCTGGACAAACTGACACAGGTACCACACTAGTGCTGCATGAAATGGGAAAAAGACAAGATTTCCATTATATTGATACTTAAGCCGTATGTCCAAAAGCTTCTCCAGCGGTTCTTCTGAAATCAAGCATATTAATAGAGTTTGTCCCCCTTTGCTGCAGTAACAGTCCGTACTCTCCCTACGCAGAGGCGATATACTGAACCAATTTTAACATTTGAGTATCGTTTTAAAACATGTTTTGTTATTCAAAACAGCAAAGGCAAATGACTACATTTTCATGTTGAATGAGTAACTGAGATTTCCTCTTCAGATGAGCTAGCAGAGCTAACCAGTAAAACACTGGATGCTGTTGAGAACTTGTGGTCTTCTTAAAGGACAACACGTTAGTTAGTCAGAGAAATGTATTTAAACTATTTCTGGACTAAAATTAGCTTGATTAAGTTAGCCTATTTAAATAAAAAAAGCGCCTGACCGCTTGTGTTTTGTGGAAGAAAAGTGAAATATGATATACTTACTCATAAATATGAGTGTGCTCAGCACTTTTTACGTCCTGTTAAAACAAAATCAGCATTTCATTGAATTTTTGGAATATTTTCTCTGTCCTTCTGTGAAACAAATAGTGATTTCAGTATTTGAATACTAGCATCTCAAACTGTTTACTGAGTATTCAAGTTGCTGTGCTCATCCCTGATATTGATGTTGGAAGGTTAGTTCTCCACGACAAACACCACTCCAGCTCATCCCAGAGGTATTGGATTGAGATTCACCAATCCAGAGAACACAGCTCCACTGCTCCACAGTGCAATGCTGGGAGGCTTTATACCCCTGTAGCTGACATTTGACATTGAGTATAAAGACCCTTAGCTCATATGTGGCTGCTCCAGAGAGTCCCTTTCTATTGACCATGGTTTTCTATGGAGATTGTTGTACAGGCAATCATACAAATGTGTATATAGTTGAGCACCTGTATCAGTAATGGGGGCGCCTTAAATTTAGCTGAACTCACTAATTAGAAGGAGTGTCTGGATACTTTTGGACATATACTGTGTTCTTATATAATTCTACATTTAATTGCAGTATGCCTTGTTGTATAATAAAACACACCGTGGAACCTTCGATGCAACTTCTCTTTCTCCAGAGTTTGGATGATGGGCGTCCAGGGAAGGTCCAGAAAGCTCCTCTCAGAGAAGAGACCAACCTGGCCAACTTCTCCTACCGATTCTCCATGTACAACATCAATGGTCAGTGAACACACAGGCACATACACAGCCATTTGAGATATTAAACATCACTGGTCAGTCAGTCAGATACACTTCATGTGCTTATAGGTAAGCCTGCTTTTAAGTCTATGAAAGAAGTACTGCTTTAGCGAGCTTCAGCATGACTTAACTAGGATGCCTAGCATAAAATAGAGAAGTTATTTGATTATTGCCCTGAGTCTTATTTACACGTTCAGTTGATGCATTAATGATTTTATTTACGCCACCCTCCTGTGCTATACATGCATATGTCATCACTGTTGGAATGAGACCCCTAGTTCGGTTGGCATTTCTAAATATTTTAAAAAAAATTAAAAGTTCTTCAAAAGTAGAAAAAAAGGAGAGATTTACACAAGCAACTACATATACAAATCTGAATGTTTGTTTGTAGCAACTTTGGTTATAATGTGTATTTGAAGAGAATAATTACCCCCCGCTCTCATATACATTACTACAGAAGCCATAAATCAAGGTGAGACTGTGGACCTGGATGCCCTTATGGCCGACCTGTGTTCCATTGAGCAGGAGCTTAGCACCATCGGAAAGCCTTCTTCATCCTCCAGCCGCTCGGCAGACCTCAAAACACGACAACGGGCTGCTCCAGGGCGTTCAGCCAGTGCTCGGCAGGCAGGGGGCAGCAGTGGTGGGGGCAGCAGCGGAGGCAGTGCCTGCAGTAGCACCCGCGCCTCACCCGCCAATACCATCCGAGGAGGGAGCGGCCAGGTACAGCTGCACCAGTAGAATGCCATGCTGCATTCATAATACTACTGTGGTGTTAATGAATACTGTTTCATTGTTTTTGGGATGATTTTTGGAATAATTGCTTGCAGTCTATTATTAATATTCAATAAGTGCATTTATTTTTTCGGCCAAAATAAATTCTCTGTCTGTCTTCAATCCTAAATACTTCCAGAAATAGTGAGTAGTGTTAATTGTAGAATGACTGCATGTGTCACATAAATATTTTAGAACTGTGTCACCCACCACGCTTGCTGTCAGACTTTTTTCAGAATGACTGTATCGTATAAACATTAAAGAGCCATATTAGCCCCCACACTTCCTGTAATATATTACGGTCTGTTAGAATGACTGTATCATATAAACATTAAAGAGCAATATTGCCCCTGCACTTCCTGTAGTGTATTATAATCAGTCAGAATGACTGTATCATATAAACGTTATAGAGCCATATCGCCCCCTACGATTCCTGTAGTATATTACAATCTATCAGAATGACTGTGTGTATCATATTAAAGAGCCATATCAGTCCCTACACTTCCTGTATTGTATTTTGATCTGTCAGAATGACTTTGTCATATAAACGTTTTGTTTTCAAGAAAACAAGCAACTTTGTTTCCATAATTAGCGTTATCAGTGACTAATCGACTTTGTTACCTGATTATCTCACAACCCGATAAAGTATTGATTAGTTAGACTGCTCATTTGCATATTGCTGCCTTCTGCAGTGTCAGTATTGCAAAGGCTAGTGTTGTGGTAACAGTTAACGTATTATACATTGTGTAGCCCTACAGCCAGTCCCGCCCTATGGCCTCTAACTTCTCACTGGACGACATCACGGCACAGTTGGAGAAGGCGTCCCGGAGTATGGACGAGGCTGCACGGCAAACCTCTGAGTCTTCCTCACCTTCCTCATCTTCGTCATATTCATCTTCCACACTGCGGAACACAGCGGCCAACTCGCAGCACCATCGGCGCACAGGTTCAGTGGGAGCAGTCAGCGATCAGGAGGCGCGCTCATCTCGCTCCAGCGTTAACTCTGCCTCCGCCTCCAGCATGGACTCACTGGACATGAGGGGGCAGGAAGGAGAGGGGCCTGGGACAGGGACGACTGCAACTCAGCAAAACCAGACAAGCACGGAGGTAACATACATACATATATACACATACATGCATAAAGGAATAAATGATAAAAATATACATGTACTACGCACATACATTATCACACACACCTAATGCTACACATTTTTATCCTTTTTGTTCATGATGTTAAATACAATTGTCATGTATTATTTATTTACTTATTTATTTAGTCATTCATTTATTTTGTTGCTTCTCTTTGGTTTCATAGTCAGAAACTAAATCTCATTAAAAAAATAGGGAAAAATTACTTTCAGTGAATCCTTCAGCATCGGCCGATACTGAGTACCGATATTAACTCTATCTGACTTAAGTCGCTTATAAGTCCTGATATTTGTACAAATACATTTTTAAAATACTTTATTTTGGTCAAATTCTATGCTCTGCGTCACAAAACACACTCAGCTTGGCTACGTGGCAATTACGTGTTGATTATATTTATTAGATGCTTAAAACTTTTTTGTTTGTTTACTGTATATATATTTATTTTTTATATGTAGTTAGGAACCATGTTTAACAACTTTAGTAAATGAAAATATCTTTAATGTGCAAAACAGTTAAAAACAGAACTGACCAGTATACAGATAAACCTGTGGTGTTTACATATCAGCACACAGCAGCTTCTGTGGCTCAAAAATGGAGCTGAATGTTGTTTCACATCCAAATTTGTCTCATATGTACTTCTTGTTCACTCGTGCTGCATCTCTAAACTATTGTAATATAGTATTATAATTTAATATCAAATATTATAATCTAATATCAAAACTGTTATCAGTGAACAATACAGTGTAAATACAAAATGGTAAGGCCCCTTTTTGGAATACTTCAGGGTGGTTTTCGAAAGTTATTATAGATGGATGTTTCATTAAAATGGAAAGGAAAAAATAGCATCAGTGAAGTCAGTACAGGCCCAAAGTTGACAACTTCAAAACCAAGACATAACCCAAAACAAAAAACAAAGGGGTAGAAAATGCCCTCTGCCCAAGAGAGAAAAAGCACCCACCCACATTCTGCTCTACATGTACAAGTAATGCCCTTGATGAGGCTTTCAGGTACATCCTTTACGCCAGATCCACTGCACACAATCCAAAACAATAGAGTACCTTTTTAGTATTTTGCACTAAGAATTTCAGAAGTTAAGTTACATTGAAGTCAATGTGGATTAAATGGCACAAATTTTATCCATCGCTATTACGATTGAGTTCCCCAGGGTATTTTGACTCTCACATCAATGAGGACAACAGTGCTCCTATTTCTAGGGCTACATCCAAAGCTATATACTACTACACTGTACATACTATGCTAACAAATGTACTGCTAATGGAGCTGTATCATGTAGTGTGCAGTTTTGGACGCATCCTTACATGAGACATTCTACAAGACTTAATTTCTCCTGTAAGCAAAATATTTAGCCAGGCACAGAGGAAAAGTGAAACAGATGTGAGGGACTTATGCCTGCTCACCTCACACACTCACACTCTCATACACTCACCCCACACACACACAACTATACAGACAATATTAAGGAAAGTATGAAAGGCATTTTTAAGAGTATTTGGTGGGATAACAGCCTAAAACCACCTTGGCTTTTTGTTGTAGTAGCTATTGCCAAGTCATTTTACTAGTTTAATACTTAATAACAGGCATGTGTGGACAAAGAAATTCATTTTGGTTAGGAAAGCAGGGGAAACAAAATAATTCTTAAAAGCATTAGGGATTAGTCACAATTTAGACTATAAAGGCATCAAAGTTGGTCATATGACTCCCTGCCAGTTGAGTATTTATTCAGCTAAAAAGCTAAAACAAAGGCAGCTTGTGACTTCATGTGGAGCACAAGACATGCTTCACTTCCTATCTCTGACTGTTCTGTGGTCTCAGGAGCAAAGGAAGGAGTGTGCTGTGGATTTGTGGAATGTGATGATGGTTTTAATGAGTTCAGCCAGGAGCCATTAAACAGCTGACTAACAGCCTTGATCTGCTAATCAGACACACACACGTTTGCGTTTTCTAAGTGCAGTTAGATCTCCTATTGAAAAGCCTAATGAAATTAAACTGTGCAGTTTCTATATACACATGCATAAGCTGATGGGGGAGATGAGAACACACCATCGCTTTTCATGTCCTGTGTAAAGTTCCACTCAAAAAAAAATGTTAACATAAGACTACAGTTGACTGATACAAAGGTACTTAATGCAGCTCTCTATAGCAGGAACTGGTGTAAAACTGCAACATACAAAGTAAAGAATTTCTTAATTAAATATCTTACAACCGTCTGGAAGTGAAATTAAACCACAATTAACATAAACCACAATTAGCTATTTGCTTATGTATCTAAATCTCATAACGCTGCTAAAAAGTAGAAAGTATACATTAAACAGTGAAATAAAATATGTGCATCCGTGTTCATTCTAACAATATTATATTGTATTATATATTTTTTTGGTGTGTGATACACAAATACTATTCGTTTAAAGTTTTGGAGTATAAAAGTAGATATTTTCGAGTATAAAAAGTAGATAAATGGTGCTGACAAGCCTACTACAGCCAACAGTGCTTGACACACTGCATATTCGTAGTATAACTAAATAACACTGCAGACAACCAATCTATCAGGAGAGCATGTAACATGTAAAATATGTGATGATGGAACAATCATGTATGTTACCTCTTTTAAAAAAGGAAATCAACCATTTAGTAAAAATAATTGAATAAAAAAAAAAATCAATGATTTAATGGGCTGATATCCAGTCAGTCACTTGTTACTATGCAATTTGTGCAGTTACAGTACACAGATAATTGAAACGACTTGAGAAATTCACGTGAAACGAGCTTTAGCACAAAAAGCTGCTCCATGCTTATATGTAAACACTACTGGTTTACCTATATATTATTCAGTACTGTTTAATATTAAAAAAATATTTAAATATATTTATTTAATTATTTAAAAATAATTTACTTCATTTGTTAATTCATTCATTAAATCATTGCGGGATGTGTGTGTGTTAGGACTAAAGAGATTAATTATTTTTTATTTTTAGGCACATTACCAACAATTTAAAAAAAAAAAAAGAAGTCTTAAATTTTCAGTGGAGAAATTGACCCCAGTGACACGGAGCTTGTGAACTGCCTCGTGAACTACATGCTCGTGAACTCACTACATTCGGTGTTCAGGCCCCAAGGAAAAATGGATATTCTGATGTTCTTGAACACAGAAACAGGCCTGTAGTCACTTGCATAAAACTTCTTTAATCATCGTTAATTTTTGCCTGAGGTTTCCCAACATAAACAAGCTGCGTGAAAATTTGTCTGAAATTAGAAAGTGGAAAAAAAATCTGTACTTGTAGCTTTTCAGTTTTTGACCCTTCCAGTATTATTTAGATGTAAATTTACAGATGTCAGATTTGTCCTTTAAGCATATAACTAAAGATGTTTAATGCAACTGGACCTTAATTGACATCACATTCACAATATTGATCGAAGAATTACAGTTAAAAATTTTCTGCAAATTGTTCAGCCAGAAAGAGAGAGAGAAAGTGTGTGTGTGTGTGCGCGTGTGTTCGCGCGCGCGCGCACGCACGCACGCACGCACGCGCGCGTGTGTGTGTCCACCAGCCATTCATGCATGCTCTTGGTGAGTGGTCTATGGACATTATAGGCTGTGACATTGTTAATTAACCAAGTTGCCCCACTGCATGTAATTATAATTACCATTGCTGTTAATATTAATTAATTACCATTATCATGGTAATTATGATCACAGTATTGTGTGACTGCATGCATTATAACGCTTGAGTGGACATTTACATTGACAGCATGATATCAATGTAAATGCACTGTCTGGTTTGGCATGCATAATGTGTTTGACATGTAACTAATTTTAATGTGTCATTGCTGTATGTTGCCTCGAAGGTGAATTCCACTAATATTTTGAGATTTCTGTAAAAATGGTGTATATTGTCATATCATTAGGATATAAAAACTTGGAAAACCATAAATAAATTAAGTTATTTAGAGTGGTTTTATGTGAAATGCTCCATTCCTGAGAAACTTGAAAATTCAGAATTGTGGTGGTGATAGGAGCCAGACATCTGAAGAGTTTAATGCTTCTCAAATCTCCCTCACAGAAAGTTATAACATGAAATGGTTATGAATATGCTGCCTGATGTCATGTTGAGACATTGTTTTATAATAGTTTAGAGATTTGTTCATGGTGATGAGGTATATGCAGAGTTTTAGGCAAAAATAATACCCAAAGAAAAATTTTCCCCCAACCATTTTCAACATTACATATTACTACATACATTACTCAGAAGACACATGAAGGTTCACTGGTCATTTTGGATAGTAAATTACACAATTATATTTGAGTTAGACATTATGACTCCTGGTTCTTATGATCACCTCTTTAAAGAAATTTTAAAGAGATGTAAGTAGGTAGGTTTCTCTACAATGCTGCATTTCACATCAAACCACTCTAAATGACTTTGTTTATATCATTTTTAATAATTGGTGGAATTAACTTGGGCACATGGATTTTCTGAAAGGGTGAGGTAATGAAATAGTGTTTAAACAGGATTAACTGGTTGAGTTAAATGAGAAAGATTTGAGGAAGCTAGTGGGAGAGAAAAGATATGATAGGTGATGCGAGTACAGGTAAGGTTACAGTTGCTAAATGCAAACAAGTAATATTAACTGTTGACCTTTTCTTACATGCCCCCCACCTGCCTGCATGTATGTGTTCACCTGTTTGTCTGTGATGTCGCCACTTAGCACCACCCACTTTCCCAGCATGCCTCACTGAGAAAAGCCAATGGTAACACTGTCAGACGGCACCTAGACTTCACCTCATGCGAGGGGGAAGTGGATCAGTGCACTGTAAGTGTGTATGTGTATGCAAGATGAAGCTGAACGTATGTTTGTAATCACCTTTAATCAAGACATTAGCACAACTTAAATAGGTCTCAGACAACATCATTTATTCCTGATTATGCAGCTTGACGAATGTTCAGGTAGAGAGCTTTTAAAGATGTATAATGCTTAGAAATTTTTATACTACAGTCGAACGTGAGAGGAACAGAAAAATGAAATGAAAAGCCCCTTTCATTTATTTTATTTCCAGTCAAAAAAGCCATTAAACAAGTAATCCATCTGTAGCTGCAGGGAATAAGAGCAGAAAACACATATATACCAGCAAAATTACAAAAGAAAAAAACATATCAATGTTATCAGTATTTAGTGTGTCTGCTCATTGCTTTTTTTTAAGCAGCTTCCGTTCTTTTCAGGGGACACGCTCTTTGTTTTTCAAAGAAATCTGCTGGTGTATTTTACTCGCCTTCATAGTTCAGTCTTGGTTGCATTTTCTGCATCTTGCAAACCACAGATTTAGACTTATCAGTCCATAAAACCTTACTCAAGATCTCAGATGTGCAGTGTTGGTGTTCTAGGGCAAATATTTGTCTTTTTTGTCTTTGTTCTTTTCTCAGTAACAGCTTATTGACAGCTACACATCCTTTCAGACTCATAGTGTTGAGTGAGAATTTTTTTTTCGAGATCTAAAGCAAGAGTATAGTTTGATTTTTCCCTGTCTCTTAAAGGTGTACTGTTTGTCTGATGGGGACAGTTTTGGTGGTCTGACAGGTCTTGAACAGGTGTTAGGAGTCCCATTTTCTCTGTAGTCTTTAATGCCTTTTTGACCTGTTTTGGAAACTCCTGTTTTTTTGCTTATTTTCCTTTGACTTTCCTTTGGCTTATGCAAGTGGATTATCTTATATCTAATCTCCACAGAAATACCTCCTTTAGCTATTTTAGATGCACATGAGAGAGAAATTTGTGAGTCAGTTAAGTTGTGTTTGAGTAGTAGTTTGTGTGAATGCTAGTGTCTGAAGGGGAACATGATGTCAGTCCTTTAGAAGCAGCTTTTGTTGGGAGGACACAGCTGTAACTTTTTGGTTTTAGGATTGGAAGGATGGAAGATTTAAAGTAGCAGTAGGTCCACAAAAGTAGAAAATGGACAAATTAAATACGGATTGATTTAATACACTTAGTGATGGAGGCTTTATTTCTAAAATTGTTTCCTGCTGTGACAGATGAATAACTTGTACCTATTGGCCATTTTGACTGGAAATTCTTAAATGAAAGGGTGGTCTCTAACTTTTTCACAGCACTATATATTGTATCAATTTGAAAAACAGAGCAAAAAAAGCAGGTTTATACTTTTCTGGATATCTAAAATTCTGGTAGTGTCTTACTATATAGCTCTCAAAGTTATAGTATTTCCATTATTTTGTGTTTATTTATATATTTTACCTTTTTATGTGCTTGTATTAATTTATATATTTGTATCTGTTTGATCTCTCTTTCATTATTTCCTAATATGATTATAAAGCTAATCATCCTTTTCACCATTCAGTTAATACACCACAACCAATATGCGCCTCGCTTTCACACTTTGTTTTATAAACAAATCACCTGCACATTTCCTAGAATGATGAGATCATGGATAATGATCATTTTTGCACTGACTGATCTTGATCTTGTTTGTCTTTTCCTTGCTGTTGTAAAGCACTCGTACCTGGACAGGGAAACCTCCCTGATTCTCAAAAGCATTGCAGGAAAGCCCTCTCACCTGCTGACCAAGGTGACGCCTCCCACTTTCGCTGGCTCCTTCCTTCACCTTTCCTTCTCTCTGCATGCGATTGGTCCATGCACCCATTAATGCCTAACGCCACTCTTCTTTCCTTATATGACCATGATCCTCAGCCTCTGTTCTAGATTCATCTATTGATTTGCATAGCTCCTCTATCTGTAACTTTTCTGCATCTGCCACGCCCACTTGCTTGAAATCCCCTGCCTCTTTCTTTCTTTTTTCACAGGTATATGGAGACGTTAGTAATGGAAGTTTCCTTTTTAAACCTGATCTGAGATCAGAGCCTATATTTATGAAGCTTCTCAGAGTAGATGTGCTGATCTAGGATAATATTACTGATCATATGTAATATGACGGGAATAGATCTGTTCCCATCATATTATATATTATCAGTAATGTTATCCTAGATCAGCATGCCTACTCTGAGAAGCTTCCTGAATATAGGCCCAGTACTGCTGTTTCTGTGGTAGTGATTAGGTATTTACCAGTGGTGTAGTCTATGTGATATGTAAGTGCAGGCCAAATATCCACTAGGAAGGCACTTGGATTTACGTATATTCACTTAAAATGCACAATGATGCATTAGATTCTTATGTTTGGCAGCTGCTGTAAAAATTATGACACAAAATAGTAATACATTTATTCTCCCTCACTCCACAACAAGCTAGCTGACAAATTGAATATAAAACCTTAAGTTTTGTTACGTTGGGTGAAAAAAGGCCTGTAGGTCATTTTCACGAAATTGCCTAATACATCTACATAATTATTTGGGTCTCATGAGCATCACGCAGATTCAAAATGTTCATATAATTCTGATTGACATTTTCTCGACCTTTCTCTCCGACAACCTATGAACTTGTGCAAGAATGTGAGTGATGATTGGTTGGCATCAAATTTGTAGTGTTGCCATCCACTCAATCAAGACACAGCACATATTTATGGCATTGTGTTTGCCTAATCTTAAATAGTGACCATTGTGAAAGACAAAAATATTATGTAGTCTGGTCTGTTTTGTTTGTGCCAGCTAGGCTCATCTTGCTAGCCATCATCTTGTCGGCAAGTCACAGTGCGTCCACTACTTTAAACTTGACTACACCACTGGTATTTCGGTCAGCATAGCTAATCCTAGGTCAGTGTAAAAAGGAAATTTCCACTTAGGCTGACCAACTGACCAGCCAGCTTCCTGAAAGTGTTGAAGCAGAGAGATAATTGCAGAACGGTTAAATGATAATCAGTTTGAATATACTGTAGTAGAAACAAATTCAGCCACAGTATTTTGGGGAAACCAATTCATGCAGAGGGTACTTTGAGTGTTCATGGTTCTATATTGAACCGTTTTCTTTACTGAGGAACTCTTGAAGGACCATCTTTTTTAAGAATGTACTGGAACAGTTTTATCATCTTCAGGAAGTGGAATACATGGGTACTGATCTGTTTCACACCAACAGGAGACAACTTACAAGCTTGTTCTGTAGAGTACAGTGCCCTCCAAATGTATTTGGACTATTGGAGAAGTTGGGGCAAAGTTATTATTTAAAGGAATGACTCTTGCAGTTTTCCCACTTACCTAGATATTGTCAATCAACCAAGACATGTTTGGCATCCAAACTTCTGGCTTCTTTAGTTCAGTGCTGGAGGTACTATGTTAATGTAGCTAACAAATACTAGAAGTTAATAGTGACCCAAAACTTTTTATACATCCCCAAAACTTCTCTCAACTTGCTCAAACCACACCAGGTCTTCATCTTCATAAAGATCATACAGAGGTCTCAGTGTGGTTGAGAGCACAGTGTGATGTTTGAAGTAAGACACTTTGAATGTTTTTAATGTATTTAATGTATTGATGTATTTACAGAAGAAAGTTTGGGTGTCTGTTGACGTCTAGCGTTTGATAGCAATGTTAGCATAAAAAAAAATGTGTAACTTATTTTTTTTTTATATTAATTTATTTTTTGGCCTCACCATTCCTTTAAGCTCTACTCATATACCAAAAATATATTATTAAATAGCTTCATTTTAAGAGGAGTTTTGTGTCATGTGCTGCGCACTGGATACAGTGAAGTTTCTCCCTGTTCTCATATCCCTTTGACTGATGGCTGCTTATTCCAAATATGGAACATAATTGCAGATCAAGCTTATTATAGATTACTGCATGGAGTGTGTGTTTGGGGGTTTATAGGTCACTTTGATGTTGGCCCTGGTGTTGGAGCTTGAGGTGCATAAACTCTTATGTACATAGACAAACACATGCACATGTTGTTCTTTGGTTTGTTTGGAGATGACGCAATAGGATTGTCTCCGAGGGCAAGGACCTCCACAATGGGCTCCTCTAATCCTCTTACTTGTATGAATTATCTCTCTTTTTCTCTCACACTTGCAAGCAAATAGTCCTTCTGAAACTTAGAAAGGACTTTCTCTTTTTTGTTTCTAATTTGTTTATTTATTTATATATTGTATATTGTTTATTTTTATTCATTTTTTACCGCTAGTCTTTGACAGTCCTGACGGTAGCAAACAGCTGTAGTTTCTCCAAAGAGAGTTTGAGAGATTTTGATCTTTTGGTTTGCCACAAAATTTCATCATTAATGTGGCTTAAACCTGTTCAGAAATAGAGTCAAAGTTAGCTTGATTTGGACAAACAGATTTTTAAAAAACATTGTTTCTTAAAATTGTGTAGACAGTTTATTTCGTTTTAGCTGTCTGTGCTTATCATCGTAATATAATAGGGGGCTTCCATTGTTTTTTTATTTTTTATATGTTATATGTTGAGTGGTTTACATGTAAAGAATATATTTAGACTAGTTTGATGTAAAATAGTTAATTGTAGAGAAACTTAACGGCTTGGATTGTCTTTACAGTAGCGGTGACAGGAACCAGGGGTCACCACGTCTACAACACCAATATAGCAAATTTAATTATTTTTAAAAATGATTAGTGTACCTACATGTGTCTTCAGAGTTTTACGTATAATGCTGATCACAGTAAAATGGTAGGAAATCTGCCCTGCATGTACATATCTGCCATTAATGGTTTAAAAAATATATTTTAGGCAAAACATTTATCTCAAAACTATTGATAAATGATTTCTCATCCTTCAGGGACCATATTTGTAACTATTTCATTTAATAACGTTCTGTAAAGTAGCTTTTAGAGGCATTAGATGCTTCGGACGTCTGATTCCCATCAACCAGTGAATGATTCTGACTTGGAAAGTTTCTCTAGAACATTTTAAACAGATCCCTCTGAATGGCTTTGTTTGCCTTTTTAACAATTGAATCATACAGAAATTTTCAGTGGAGTTTCCCTTCAATGTAATAATATGTGGTTACATTTGAATGTTAGCAAACTCACACACAGGCTTTAGAATTATTATTCTGACTTAATTTATGCAAGTCACACAAGCCACTTTTATTATGCATGAGAATGTAATTATACTATAACTCCCTTGTTGCTTTGCCTACACAAATGCTTGTTAAATCTGCAGCAGAGAATTATGGGTAAAAGTAATAGCAAAATGGTGAATTCACTACTTTCTTTCACCTTGAATGATTAGTTGCGAAGCATTTCGATAGCATTCTACTCAGCCTTACGGCTGGTTGAAGAAACAGTTTTGTCCTCTGTGCTAATGTTGCCAACATGAAAGCAAATACTCACCAGTTAGCATTATGCAAATGCTAGTAGCTCTCATTTATTGTCAGCCACATTAGTATACTTAGTAAAACTGTTCTGTTAGTTATGTTTTAATTGCTGTCTTAATTTATGTAAGCTTGCAGATAGACTGCTAACTGCTGAGTGAGTGTTGTGCTACATAGTCAAATCCCAGTAGTCGGCTGGTTTGTGTGTCAGAGTCTCTGCTTTCCGGAGATTATAGTAGCGCATGCATATTTCAGAATGCACTCATTGAATATGCAGCCGTTAAAACGGAGGCTAAATGCTGTTCGGGCACTTCAGGCTCAAAGAGAATTGAACAGAGAAAAGTCTGGATCTAATTAGCCAGATATCTTCATTTGGGCCTCTGCTTTTAGAGTCACAGTTAACTTGAATGAACCATCTGGTATTATTCCTTAAACTTGTTCAGTATAAGCATTCTCTGTTTATCACAGTGTTGTAATTAAATAGACCTAGTTTGGACCTAGAAGTGCCAAACAAACAGAGGCTGTTTTAAGCTGTGTTTAATTTGCTTTGATGTTCTTTTAATTACATGTTTTCTGCTCTTAAATTAGCTACTTTTAAAGTCACGAACCCGTAGAACCAACACATTGGCTAGCAGTTTGTCTGAGCGCCATTTTGATTTGGACACATGGTTCAAATGAGGAGAAAGAAGACAGGATTCGGCTCCATCCAATTGTTCTCTATGAACACACTGCCGCATGCAGAGACAGTGCGGTGAATTACAGAACAGGGAGAGAGAGGGAGGAAGAGAAGAAGAGAAGGGGGGTAGAGGAAGGGGAAGAGACTTCAAACGAGAATCTGAATCTTTTTATAGCAGGCTCTGCAAAGCCTGTTAGGAATCTCTCCCTCTCTCTCTCTCTCTCTTTCTCTCCCTCTCTCTGTCACTGTCTCTAGCTCTCTCCTCTCCAAATGGATGTATATCATGTACATGCTCAATGCAGAAACATTTGACCTAGACCGTAATCTGACAGAATGATAGAGAATTGTTTGTCTTTCTTTCACATAAAATCTCTCTCCCTTTTTCCATATCTTTCTCCCTCATACATATATACGTGTGTGTGTAGTGTGTAGTGTGTAAAAATCTTTCTCTTTCTGCATCTCTGTCTCTTCCTCTCTTTCTCTGTATCACTCCCTCTTGCCCTCTCTCTAAAATCTGTCTCTTGGTTTCTTTATATCTCTCTTTTTGTCTTGCTCTGTATCTGTCTCTCAAATTCTCTAGGTCTCTCTTTTGCTCTCTCTCTCTCTCTCTCTCTCTCTCTCTCTCTCTCTCTCTCTCCCTCCTTTATCTTTTTTTCTCTCCTTGTAAAGCAGCAGAAGACAGTGTGATAGAGATTTCAGAAAGGGAGACAAATGAATGGAGTTTTAAATAATTTAAAAAATTAAGGTGTACCAGTGAAAGTAGACCCAGATACCTCTCATCACTTCAGTATTCCAGAGGGTGTGTTTCTTCTCTCCACAGTGAGATAAAGGCTGGCGAAGCTGTCTGGCCTGCACCTCCCTGTGATTGGCCTCCGGAAAGAAGGTCAGGGACATGAGACCCCCTTATTGGCTGGAATGGTGCAGAAGCATGTTCTGATTGGTGGAGAAGAAGCAGAGGGGGTTTCTTGTGTTTGTGAGGAGGATTAAAGCCCTGAGATCGAGTGCAGAGCCAGAAACATACAGCTGTATGAGAGCGAGAGGGGGCAAGAGACACTCGAAATTAGAAGAAAGAGAGACAAACAGAGAGAGAACCTACAAGAGAGAGGGACATTTGGAAAAAGAAGGAAAGAGAGACAGACTGGAATGGATTGAAAGGGGGAATAGAAGGAGAGAAAATGAAAAATGCAGCAATGGAAACAGACAGAAGCAGAGGGAGCAAGTAAAAGACAGCAGGAGACAGAAAGACAGGGAGAAAGTGAAACAAGTAGATAGAAAAAGGGGAGACGGAAATTAAAACAATAAAAGACAGCAAAAAAAGAGGGAGAAAGTAAAAGATAGCAAGAGGGAAAAGAGGAGAGGCAGAAATTGAGCGAGAGTAAAAGACAGCAAGAGCCAGAAATAAGAGGGAGAAAGTAAAAGATGAGAGAAAAGGAAGAAGAGAATAGGAGGGACAAATGGAGAGAAAGTACATTACAGAAATTGAGCGTGAATAAAAGACTCTGAGAGACAGAAAGAAAGAGGAGAAAGTAAGACAGTAAGTGACAGCAAAGAGTTGAGAGAGAGAGTTAAAGACAGCTACAGACAGAAAGAGAAAAAAGAAAGAGGACAAAAAGATAAATAAGACTGAGAGACATGAATGAGAGAGAAAGATGGAAGAACAAAAGACAAGAGTCTGGGACTGAGAGAGGGAAAGAGACCTTGTGGTACTGAAGGGGAAGTCTCCCTCTCTCTCCTCCCACTTCTCCACTGTAGAGCTGTAGATTAGCGTTGTGTGTTCTGACGCCTCGGCGTGTCTCCAGTTGTGTCAGAGATCGTCTCCTGCATATGGGTCACGACACGCGCGCGCAACAGGAGAAACCGGACTTCTTTCGGTTTTGTTTTTTTTGTTTTGTTTTGTTTTTCTTTTTTCTTTAATTTGTCGTTGTCCCCCTTCACCCATCTTTTCTATCAGGTCTTATAAGTGCGTCGGCTTGGCTCAGGACGTTCACATCTCTCACTGTTGGATCATGCGGATCTTCTAATGGAAGCCATGGAACTGCTAGCTAGATCATTTCTTCTTGATATAAGGGTTTGCAAGGCAGCTCATTTTGCACCCTTTGGTTTTTCTGTGACTTTTCCAGTCATGTTGGCGGTTTTGGTGCTTTTGTAGGTGGTCTTCATATATTGGACCTGTTTTGTATGAATAAGCAGCCATTGGTCAAAGGGTTTGAGAGATTTCTGAATAGTTCAACACGGGTGACGCTTCTAATCAACTGAGCACACACAAAGACACGGCTGGTGAGGATTGAAGATGGATATGATGACCGCTTGTTGGAGGGGCCAGGTAGGTGTTTGTGGGTGTGCTATAGGTGTTTGGATTGGCCAGAGAGAGTGAAAAACAGAGAAAACGAACATCGCACCTGCTTTTGAATGGGAAATGTCCACATGCTCCTGTTGGTGTGAATTCATTGTGTGTGTTGTGTTTGTCTGCTATGGCTGCACAATGTAGAAAAATATACCATAAAAAACATTCCAATAATATTGCTACAAAGTGCAATATCCCTTGCAGTACCCACTGCAGACCCTTAGTGTGACACGGTTTAAGATTGGCCTGCATTATTTTGACCTTTGTTTTGCATTACCCACTACATACGATCACCCACAGTATGAATCTGTGAGTGGTCCACATGCTCAGTATAAGAAAAAGAAATCAAGATTTGTTAGAGAACTCATTTGCATTTTGCAGCTTTCTGCTGTATCAGTATTACAAAGGACAGTTTTATAATAGTTAACAAATGATGTTTTATGCAGCCCTAGTATCAGCATGTGTTGGTGTATGGTTTTGTATTAATATTGTCTTATGTGTCTGTAGGAAGAACAGGCTGCCAAAGCAAAGGCTGAGAAAATTCGTGTGGCTCTGGAGAAAATTAAAGAAGCGCAGGTTAAAAAGGTGGGTGTGGCCAAATCCTGTGTTAATGTGTGTGTGTGTGTGTGTGTGTGTGTGTGTATGTGTGTGTGTGTGTTGTCTTGTGTTTTGTTAATTTTTAATTTAATATTTAAAGACTCAGTGTCATGTGGTGTGATTAGTGCAATTTTGTGAACTGGTTTGATATTACATATAATGATAAAAAATTATATATTTATTTTGCCATATTTGCCATAATTTTCTGTTCCTCTGTTCTAGAGCAAAACTGCAAAGCATTTGTAGTTCTGATTTGATTTACTTACAAAAATTGTCTAAAGATTTTTATTTTATGAAAAATCATCTGGTGCAACCATCAGTAAAAAAACCATTGTGAGATTTTTGTATTGAAATAAATTCAGTGAAAGGACATGACATCATACAGCGTTATACAAGGACTCTTGGAAACGTATGACTCCAGTTTAAATCAAAAATCAATATTTTAAGTACTGCTGTGAAGTGTTTGGCTATTTGGATGTTCTGTGGTATGACCTGATGAAAACAATAGAAATGTAATTGTGCTGGTAAATCAGTCTTTTGATTATACATTTCTGCTGGACTTCTGCTGGAATTAGGATCGTGTTGTTCAAGTTGTCAATTCTGTACCTGGGAAAATTGATTGAATTTGAAAACCTCATGGGTGACCAAAACTCATGTGGTGGATTTAAAAGCTACCACTAAACCTATAACGTAGTGCATTATACAGATGTCATAGCAGTAGTCATAGTTATATAAACAGGCAGCTAATGTAAGAGTTTAAACTACCAGCTAGGCCCATTAAAGAACAAAAATATTATTTATGTCGCAAAAATGGCTAATAAAAGAACTGGAAATATTGTGTTTAACCTACACCGTGTGAGCATCAGGTTTAAAAAATTAAATAAATAAATAAATAAAAACAAGGCTAATTAAGCATCAGCCAATTTTGTATCAAAATGTTGCACCTCAACATGGTAACTTTCCAGGAGTTCTTAATTTTTCAAGTACCTTAATATAACAATAAATCATTTTGGACTGTTGCTATTGGTCTATTAATGCCAAATTTTTCAAACTAAATTTTGTATTATGTAATCAAATGAAATATTATGCAATAAAATTAAAAACAAGGTTAGAGATACAAGGTTTAATCCAGACAGTGCTGATATGTATGTATGTTTGTCTATGTGGGTGTGTTTTCTCCCTGAGGCTGAGTGTATCTGCTACCTCAGTTCTGCGCAGCATGGTGCAGCTCTCTCACTCTGCAGAGGCAGACAAGGAGTGAGAGCTCGGCAGAAAATAGGTCACTGTGTGTGTGTTTATTCAGGATTTACTGGGAGAGATGCTCCACCAAGATCTTGTTGATAATCAACACAAGTGATGTATTCTTGTGTTCGGTCTTTGGTTCCTTCAGAGCTGATCTCAGACCACCACTATGGCCAGTATAAAGGTCTGTGTCTCTCCATTGCACTACTGATTAGAACGAAGCAGCTTTGACAAACGTCACCAGGCACCTCTTCACGCTGAGGAAGTCAATGAAGCTCAGTGCGGTGAATGGGCCTCTATTGCAGTGACTGACTGCCTCTGTTGCTTTATTATGAATTTGGTGGAAACTGGAAGCTTTGAGTAATCGTGCTGTGCAGGAGCAGGGCCAAAATTATACGGCCCGTAGCACGCTTAATCAGCCTGGTGAATATGATGAATAACCTCAAATGTGTAAGTGGGTTCTTACCATTCAGTGTAAATCTCTGTCCTCCCAAGGGTTCAGTTTGATTCCGATTCTTTTGCAGTGAAAAATCAGTGTATTATGGACAAAATTTCACCACCATTTCATTAGTTTGGTATGATTTAGAAATCACTAATTTAGACTACTGCTTGTGCAGTAGTGTATCGTAATAGAGAGAGTGTACTCTGTCCTTTGTTCATTTTATTTCCAGTCAAAACAGCCATTAAGTACAGTTTGTTCATTTTTAGGAGATATTTCTAAGGAGTTTAGACATACTATAGTCCACTTGCGTAAGGAGGAGGAAAGTCGAAGTAAAATAAGTGAAAAATAATAGAAGATTATTTGTGAAACAAGTAAAGAAGCTGCTGGTGTTCTCAGAACAATGGACTGACCACCCCAGAGTCCATACCTCAACGTCACTGAATATGTTTGAGATTAATTGGATCGTGAGAAGCAAAAAACAAACTTCTAAGACTGAATGTTAGGTGTGGAAAATATCCCTGCAGATTTCTATGAAAGACTGAAAGCAAGTCTCCTGAAAAGAATGGAATCGCTAAGAAAGTTAGACACACAGATTGCTGAAAAAATTGTTATATTTAGTTTTTGAGGCTTCTATGTACTTTTCTCTTCAGTGTCTTCTGCTTTTTTTCCTGAAGTTAAAAATGAATAACTTGTATTTAATGTTTAGACTGGAAACGATGGCTGATCTCTGACTTTTACACAGTAGTGTGTATGTATATATATATATATATATATATATATATATATATATATATATATATATATATATATGTGTATATATATATATATATGTGTATATATATATATATATATATGTATATATATATATATGTGTATATATATATATATATATATGCATATGTGCAGTTCAGTCACTACCGTCTGATAGTTGCATTTTTATTGATGCATTTTTACACCCCCATTTCATTTGATGTTTTTTCCCTCTGTATAATTTGAATAAAGAAATAAACATACTTAAGTGTAAATGGCGATTTCAAAACCTTTGTTGTTAAGGGAAGCTTCTATGAGTTATTTTGTTTTTAATTTCGTCAGACACTGCTTAGTTGAATAAGAATGTTCTCTCTGATAGAAAATAAAGTAAGAGAAGAATTACATGTCCAGTTAACTTCATCGTCTAAAAGTGTTAAGCAAACAGAATGAGGCCAGAAGCAATGTTTCAATGTGGGTTATGTTTTTGTGTGTGTGTGTATGTCTGTGTGTGTGTGAGAGAGAGAGAGAGAGAGAGAGAGAGATTAGACGCATGGAGCGTATTCTCAGTGTGCTAGTCTGGGAAAAGTGCCACACACTGCTCATCTCCATATTACTGTGCGGCCCCCCTGGCATGAGTCTGCCTATTCAACACTGCTCTTCTCTCAGAGGAGAGAAAATGGGGTGTGAAATGTGGGATGCTTTTGCATAAGCCTGAAGTTTCTGCTTGTTTTTAGTTCCTTATATCAGTAAAGTCTTTTATGTAGATCACAATTCTTAGACAGCCAGTGCTCTATATGTACAATGTTTAAAAGCCACCAAAGACCTTCATGGACTGGAACACCATGAATTTGTGGCATTTGTATTCAAGTTGGATATTATGCTATCTGGCAGCTTTAGCTGATAACCACACTGGATTGAACTTTGCCTTTATGTGGAGATACTCGTCAGTTTGAGTACACTCTGCGTGGGCAATATGGAAAAATGTAATTTGCATGTTATGCATTACATATGGCTGTATTTTGATGCAGTGCTTCTTGTACACAGGCCTAATTATGCTCTCTTTGTAGTGGCTTTTTCAAAGATAGGCACAGAAAAGCATGTTGTGATGTATTGCAATAGCAATTGAGTATCATCACCCCTAGACAACATTATGGGCCATCAGCTGTGTTTATGATGACATGGAGCATTGCTGTGTTAACCTGTTAATTTCCAAGTGTACCTCTAGGAAGCTCAAACTTATTGCAAGTGATAAATTTAAGCATGTTCCATGTTACCTCAGTTTTTGGGTCATGGTATAACATTAGTCAATACATTCTCTTATTCCTTTGCAACATCATAGTTTAAACTGGCGTTGGTCTGTCCAGGTGGATATGCACAGTCACAAGATAAGTTTGCTAATTTATCTGAATACAGTTAGACTTTGTTACAATTTGGTGACATGATGATTTTCTGACTTTATAAATAGTAAAAGACCGTCTATACGAACAATTAGAGCAGGCAAAATGCTGAGAATAGCTTAAAATAACCAAGCAGATCTTGGACCAGCCTTTTTCTTACTGTCATAATTCTGGGAAGTGGTAGCTGCCTAAAGATCGTCTTTTGGAACTGAGCATCACTGATGCAAAATTCATGACACGACTGCAACCTTTAAAAATATCATTGTCATAGCATGTAATAAAATATAGACAAATAAAATATGTAGAATGTAATGGGAATTAACCAGTGGATTCTTTTCACCTGGAGTGCTGCAGAATGAATGTAGTTTTTACAGTTTAGTAATAATCGTGGAGTGATTGTAATCCAGTCTGAATCTGCTGTGTGAACATCCAGATCACCTTTTAATCTGGGCTGTCTGTGGAAATTTGAGTAAATTATAGATAATTTATCCTCTCCAAATGGACTACTCAAACGCTGAAAAATCACATTAGACAACCTCCTCTGGCAAAACTGTTTCAGCTCCAGTAGTGCATTAGCTGCAGAAGGCATGTGTTCAATACAAACATCATTCTTAAAGTCACTTAGCTATGAGATCACACTCTGATTCATCGCTTCTTCCTCTGTTTCCTCAGCTGGTGATCCGTGTGCACATGTCAGATGAAAGCTCAAAGACAATGATGGTGGACGAGAGGCAGAGTGTGAGGCAGGTGCTGGACAGTCTGCTGGATAAATCCCACTGCGGATACAGCCCAGACTGGGCCCTGGTGGAGACCATCACTGAGCTGCAGATGGGTACATACACACACACATGCACACACACACACACACAAACACACACACGTTTTCTTTTATACCTTATCAAAACATATACACACATACATTTGTTGTTTTATATATATCATCGCTTTCCAAAAAAAAACAAGTATCTCAAGAATGATAACAGAGAAGGGCAAAGTTGTTCTTTATTTTTAATGTAAGTTAATGTAAAAATTTTATTTCAAGCAGTTTTGCAGCATTAATTTGAGGTTATCAAAGGAGCAACCAGTGTACCTCAGGTGGCATAAAGTAATGGATTCAAAAACCGAGACGTAGCTTTTAGGAAACACCATTTTGTTTGCCCTGTAGGTTAGACCTGTTTTCTCTGGTTTTCCTTCGGAGGTTTTCCCTTCAATTCATTTCACATAATATTAATCCATCTTGTCTCTCTTTCACTCGCTTTTAGAGCGTATATTTGAGGACCATGAGAATCTAGTGGAGAATCTGCTGAACTGGACCAGAGACAGTCAGAATAAGCTCATGTTTATTGAACGCATTGAGAAGTATGCACTCTTTAAGAACCCACAGGTGAGAATTTACAACACAGACACAGTCTTTCTTTACTTCATAGGCTCTCTCAGATGTAGCTCCAGGTGCCAAGGACAGCTGTGTGCATTCATTCTTTTGATGAAAATGATTTACTTCTGTAGAGCACATGAATACCTTGATTCATTAGAACACCCACAGGAACACTGATTTGGAACTGTGATTATTCAGGCACTCACAGCACAGAGTAAAACAGTGATGTGTCAGAAAACGTATTTGCATGTTGTAGCTTTCTGTGATATCATTATTCTAAAGGTGTCATTTATCACATCTCTCTTGATTTCTGTCTCCAGAATTACCTTTTGGGAAGGAAGGAGACTTCTGAGATGGCAGACAGAAACAAAGAGGCGCTGCTGGAGGTCATACAAACACACACACACACACACACACACACTTATATTGGCGTTTTCTGTAGAGCATTCAACTACATATCTACATATAACTGTAACCTTATTCTTTAAGCAGAAGTTAATCTTCTCTTTTATAATTGGTTAAGTGAAAGTAGTTTATACAGCAATGTGCGAAAGTCAGAGACTACGCTTCATTAATTTGATTTACAGTCAGAATGGCTTACAAGTACAAGTTATTCATTTTTTAGTGTTAGGAAAAAAAAACCAGAAAACACATTTATATGAAAATTGCACAGAAACCTCAACAACTAAATATACTATACATTTTGTCAGTATTTAGTGTGCCCCTGCCTTAATTACAGCTTCCATTCTTTTCAGGAGACTTGTTTTTCATTTTTTTTTAAGAAATCTGCAGATATTGTTCCACATCTCTAAAGTTCAGTCTTAGAAGTTGGTTGTGTTTCCTGCTTCTCACAATCCAAATAATCCCAGACATATTTAGTGATGTTGAGGTCTGGACTCTGGGTGGTTAGTCCATCGTTCTGAGAACACCAGGAGCATGATTTGCAGATTTTCTTTTTGGCATTTCCTTTTTCTCAGTGAAGGCTTCTTGACAGCTACACATCCTTTCAGACCCATAGCATTAATGATCTCTTCACAGTGGAAGGACGGGCAGAAAAAACTGTGGAATTTTTCAGATCTGAATTAAGAATGGAGCTTGATTTTCTCCTCTCTCTCAAAGTTGAAAGTTTTAAGTGCTGATCATGTGATGGGGACAGTTTTGGTGGTGTCTTGCATGGTTGTTATTTTCTCTATATTTTTAATCAATTTTTTTGAACTCACAAAATCACTTATTTTCCTTTGACTTTCCCCTTCATTATGCAAATGCATTATCTTGTATCTCATCTCCTCATAAATCCTGGGAAATTAATAGTCTCCTGGGAAATGAATAACTTGTACTTAATGGCTGTTTTGACTGGAAATAAAAAAAAACAGTGGTCTCTGACTTTTGCACAGTACTGCATAAAGATAATTTTCTTCATAGGAATCAGTCAGATGTCTTCATAATATCAAAATGTTCATGTTTTTCATGTTTCCTCATGTTGAATTTCTGTTTCTGTGTTTATGCAGGAATGTTTTTGCGGTGGTTCAGTGTCAGTGCCTGAGATTGAAGGAGTGCTGTGGTTAAAGGATGATGGGAAAAAATCCTGGAAGAAGCGTTACTTTCTGCTCCGTGCATCCGGTATCTACTTTGTCCCTAAGGGCAAGGCCAAGGTTTGTATGAGTGTTTGTGTATGTGTGCACACACTTAGTGTGTCTGTGTTGTCACTAAATGAACAGGGAACTGAATAAGTTTCTCAGCGGTATTTTCTGTTTATGGACCTACTTGTCGTGTTCAAGATTTACTGTGATATTACTATTACTGTGTCATTTTTAACCTTCAGGTTTTAGTCTTTAAATTGGAAGTGTAATGCTCTCTGTATATAGATTTGAACTTATGTGTTTCTCTATGTTTTGCATGCTGGGGCTGAAGGAGCTCCCCCTGTTGGCGCACTGCCCTCATCACAGTTATTCTGTTGCACAGTAATACCAGTAAGACTGTGCTGTGACCTATTATTGCTTCTTCTCCAGGCCTCTAGAGACTTGGTGTGCTTCCTACAGTTGGACCACGTCAATGTTTATTATGGGCAGGATTATCGGAGCAAGTACAAGGCCCCTACTGACTACTGCCTCGCTCTCAAGGTAGGAGTGTGTGAGTGTGGTTTTTAGACCAGGGGGGAAAAAACACAATTAACCAACAAAATGGTTCTGACTTTTTACAAAAAAGCCAGATTTACACATTTATTTTAAGTTATTAAAAGCTGTTTATAAATCTGCTTGGATCATTTGTTTGATACTGTAAGCACTAAAACAGTTTTTGGTTACTGAGATTAAGGTTAGGTTTACTAACATCAAAAAAAAAGTATTTGTCCCTTTTCTAACAACCATTCTGTATGTCCCATCTTTCTGTCTGTGTATTCCTCTTTTTGTAGTCTGACACAAACATCCTGTGTCTTAATACCGTTATACTATTAGTCTCCATTTTAGCTGCCTCTAAGGACTGTCATTTATCAAAGCCATCTGTCTCCTTCTACACATCCCACGAGTCACTACCATACAGCCTTCTTAAACTGTAAAGGGGTTTAATGCTAATGGGGTAGACGCTGAATAAAAATGCATTACATTAGCTTGCATTCATTAAATTTACTCACTTTTGTTAAATACATTTGTTTAATGGAAATGTACAATATGTAAATATTGTTTGGGAAAAAAACCTGTTTGAAAAAGTAGTGTTTACCCCCCAGTCCATATATGGAGCTGCAAAACAGCCTGTTTTGAATACATTGTTTTTGTAATGTCACAAACGATTCATATATATATCTACCTATCAGAACATAGATCATTTACATATGTCAGTCTTAAAGGCAAAGGAACAAAAACAGCCTGTTTAAAGAGATAAAGAAGGTTTGGAAAATGATCTTGTAAAAATTAATTATGACTGTAGTACATGAAATCACATGTATATGAAATCACATGTATATAAATATACTTTACATGTACATGTATGTAAATATACTTTAGAGAAAAAAATACAATCTAGAAAATCTGATATGAGCCCTTTAACACTATAGAATTGTTTAGTTAGCTGTAATTGTGAGTTAACAGACTATCATACTATATTTTATCAAGCTGTATTCCATCAGACTGTATATTAGAGTCTGATTTTTAAATAACTCAAGGTGTAATTCTGTGTTGTTAATGTATTGATGACTTATATTGAGTGTGGTTGTGTCTTGCATTGCTATGGGAGAAAATTTTGCTCCCCTCTAGTGGCAGCTTTAAATGCCAGCTTGAACTTAACACTCTCTGCTCCCACAGCACCCTCAGATTCAGAAGAAGTCTCAATACATCAAGTATTTGTGCTGCGATGATGTCAGAACCCTTCATCAGTGGGTCAATGGGATCCGCATTGCAAAGGTAACCAACTACTGCTTTAAATCAGTAGTTCCTCCCAAAATTACATTTTCCACAGTTTCCCTTTACCACAAGTTTAGCTAAGAGGTGTTTGTTCCTGTAGATATTTTTCTTTGCAATGGAGCTATGAAGCTAATGTAGCTGACAATTAATGGAAGCTTATATCCACCACAGTGCACAGTGCAAACTTGCCTCAGCATGCTAATCGAGCTCAAGCTGTTTAACTTCAATCAATTCAGTGCTTCATTTACCAATTCAATTCATATAACTGAATGTATCTTTATTTGAATAGTGCCTGTAAATTGATGTGCAGTACAGAAAGTGTGAGTGTGAAACTGTGTGTGTGAAACTGCCTCATAAAGGAAATTTATGTGTTTGTGTTTATCTTCAGTATGGGAAGCAGCTGTACTTGAACTATCAGGAGGCTATGAAGCGCACTGAGGCAGCATATGACTGGTCCTCTCTCTCCAGCTCCAGCATCAAGTCTGGCACCAGCTCAGTCAGCATCCCAGGTGAGTCACCTACAGACTGACTTCAGATCTGCCATTATTAATCATAGCAACTGATTTGAAGTAGGGTTTTAGCCACAGAGCCTTTGCCCTGGACTTCTGATCAACCTATAATACTTCTAAACCATATCTTGTGCATATTACATCCGACCAGTCTGTATATCATGCTAAGTGCAAAAAATGAATTATAATGAATGAAAGCTAGTAAAGGACAGTTAGGATGAGATCACCAATTATTCCAAAATGTTTCTTAAATGATAGACAATATCTGTTGCAATCAGTGAAACTATAGCATGGTCAGTGAATAACACGGAAATGAAGTTTTAAGGACTTGTTACCTTCTTTATATAGCTTGAAATTGATAGTCTGATAAATGTGGGGACTGGGTTATGATCATGGACAGGGCTCTGTTTTCATTCCATTAGGGAATCTTTAAAAGCAAATAAAATGAGAAAGAAATGTTCAAAATTCTTCACTATTTCTAAGTCACTATTTAAATTAAAGCAAATTTATGAAACTGACCATGTTATCACGTCAGATTTTTTCTTTTCTTTTTTTTTTTCGTCTTTTGCACAAATTTAGGGAGTCTAAGACAGCTGGAGCGCACACAGTCATTAAAGCAATAGGGGGAAATACTGTTTCAAATACTAAGAAACTCATGTAAACATTTAAAGATTCTTCTTTTTCACCCAGATTGTTATGCTGGTAATATCATTTGTAATTTAAAAAGCATATTATATTAGAAAAGAATGTAAAATAGAAGCATTGTCATCAGTGGTCTCAGACTTGTGGACTCCACAGTAGCTCAGCTCATTGTTAGTTCTCAGGGCCTTCATAAAGTGAATCTGGAATGCTAGAATGTACAAGATGTAGTATCTCTATGTACTGTGACTGCCCAATGATGTTGCTGGACCATGCTGATCCTGAACATGTGTGTGTATCTTGATAGAGTCACAGTCCAACCACTCTAGCCAGACAGACAGCGGTGTATCAGACGGAACTTCATCTACACATGCACGCTCCCAGAGTGTAGTCAGTTCGATCTTCTCAGAGGCTTGGAAAAGAGGCACTCAAATGGAGGAAAGCACCAGAGTAAGTCTGTTTTCTTTTTTTTTTCTCCCCATGTTGTTTGCTGTACAGTTTGCACCTTGATTGTTTCTGGTTTCCTTGTCGATCACATTGAGTTCATGACATGTTGCCAAGCTGAGCAGAAGGCATTATGACTCTTGCACTCTCAAGGAGAGCTCAGTTATATAATGTGTTGTTGGTGTACATTGCTTTTTTTTATTTAAGTGATTTGCTATTTTTTTTTGTGCAGGTGAGACCAGAGTCAACACGTTCAAGCCATTCTGCCCACAGTGGACACAGCATCCACTCCAGTCATGTTCACCCTCCTCATGTGGCTCAGCAGCAACATGCACATGCATCAGTGCATTCACAGCAGCAAGCACAGCAGCACACGCAGTCTGCCTCACATCCTCGTGGAAGCATTACTCACACCCCCGTTCAAACTCCACCCCAGCCCTCTCCAGCTCCACCACCGCCGCCTCCTCCTCCACCTCCACCTCCACCACCACCCCCTCCTCCAGCCTGCGTCCCCCACCACTCAGCGCCACCTATATTTGCAAAATACAGTACCATCACCCGTCTGCAGAATGCCTCTCAGGCTGCCAAGCCACAACCCCAAGCACAGCAAGTGCTTCCGACTCCGCCCCCTCAGGCACTGAAACCCCATGCCAACAACATTCCTCCAGGAGCAAATATACCACCACCACCCCCTCCTCCTCCACCTGCACCCTTGCCTGCCCCTGGTTCAGCTATGGCCGTACTGAAACTCGGACCTCCAAGTCCAGCCCCAGTGCCTCAGTTTACCCCTTCACTTCCGCCATCCCCACCACCACCTCCTCCACCTCCAGCATCCACGCAGTCCCAAACTCTTCCGCCGCCTCCTCCTGCACCCATCCAATCCCAACAGTTTCCGCCGCCTCCTCCTGCACCCTTCCAATCCCAACATTTTCCGCCGCCTCTTCCTGCACCCATCCAATCCCAACATTTTCCGCCGCCTCCTCCTGCACCTATCCAATCCCAACCTCTTCCACCTCCTCCACCTCCAGCATCCATCCAGTCCCAGCCTTTTCCCCCACCTCCACCTGCACCCATCCAGACCCAACCTCTTCCACCTCCCCCTCCTCCTCCTGCGCTTAATCACTGCCAGTTTTTTCCCCCACCTCTTCTTGCGCCTGTCCAGACTCAACCTCTTCCTCCTCCTCCACCCCCATTACAAATCCAAGCAGAGCTTCTCCCCCCTCCTCCTCCCCCTGCTACAAAACAACGGCTTGCCTCCTCCACCTCCTCCCCAACCAGTCGCGCCTCTTTTAACTTCCAATGGCCTCAAACATGTTCTGGCCCAGAAGTTTCCTAATTTGCCCCGAGATTTATCCCCTCCAGGTGGTCAAGGTCAGTCTCCACCACCCCCTCCACCTCCTCCACCACCTCCACCTCCCACTCCTCCGGCCCCTCCTCTTCCACCTCAGCAGCCTCCTGCCCCAGCCCCACCTCCTCCTCCGCCTCCACCACCACCTCCTCCACCACCACCCCCAGCCCCTGTCCAGCAACTAGGTCCACCCCGAGCTTTGCCCAAAACCTTCACTGGAGGATTTCCACCCCAAACTGCACCAAAGCCTGCTGGCACCATTCTACCAGTGTCTCCAGTAGCTCCCCTTCCTCCAGCTCCTCCTCCACCACCTCCTCCGCCACCTCCTCCACCACCTCCTACAACAATCAAGAGCCATCCACCACCTACGCTGCCCAAGCAGCACAGCATCTCCAAGACACTGCCACTTTTCAACCAGGCCTCTACTACACAATCTTTGGTCAAGCAGATTGCCAGCCAGTTCCCTAGCGTGGCTCCTACAGCCGCCAACCATGCAGAGAGCCACAAAGCCCCTCTGTCACCACCTGCAGTGAAGGCTAAACCAAAATGGCAGCCTGGTGGACTGCACCAACAGCAGTCACCGGAGTTTCCCCCACCTCCTCCAGACACCACACTTGCTTTTCCTCCACCACCACCCCCTTGTCCACCTCCTCCACCTCCTGCAGGCCCTACACCTCCTCCTCCACCTCCTGCAGGCCCTACACCACCTCCTCCTCCACCTCTTGCAGGCCCTACACCACCTCCTCCTCCTCCCCTTCCCCCTACCCTGTCAGATTCCCCAATGAAGACCCCATCCTCAGTGTCCTACGCAGGGAGTAAGAAACCTCCACCAACCCCTCAGCGCAACTCCAGTGCTAAGTTCAACTCCTCAACCGCGTACCAAGAGTCCCGCCGGAATTTGGTGAGCAAGTTCAACCCCAGTGCGTCCTCTTCCGCTCCAGTGTCCTCATCTGGTTCACCTTCCAAGGACCTATCCACCGGACCCCCAGCACCTCCCAAACCTGGCAAGCTGAACCTGGCCAACCTGCCACTGGCCTTGCAGAACAGGGTGGGTCAGAGCCGCCAGTCCACTGCGGATTTTCCCTCACCTCCCCCGCCCGAGAATAACATCTTTCCACCTCCTCCGCTTGAGTTGGACCTCCCCCCTCCACCGCCTCTACCAGGTGCAAGTGCTCCCAAAGTTGCCGTAGTGAACCCCCAGCCCCAGCCTCCCTGGAATAAGAGTTCCCTGAAGAAGACTTCTGCATCCACATTGTTCAATCGCAACAACACGCCTGAGCCACCTCCTCTATCGCCGCCTCCACTGCTGGGTGGCCCTGCTCCTCCAGCTTCCCCAAAAGGCAGTAGTCAGCCTAACTTTTTAGAAGACCTGAACCGGACTCTGAAGCGCAAATCCTTGCGTAACTCTGGGGCTAAGTTGGACCCTGTGGCCACCATGGATGACATGGTGCTGCCGCCGCCTCCTCCAGAGCTTCTTCTCGACCAGCAGAGACACAGTGGGAGTGGGTACACGTCCAGCAACATCTCTGGCTATGCAACACTAAGGCGTGGGCCTCCCCCTGCCCCACCTAAACGGGACCAAAGCACCAAACTGACAAACTGAGAGTATTGGAACGTTCTTGCACGCTGCCTACTTTTCCCATATACAGGGTTGTGAAGGATTAGCAGTCAGCGAACTTGTCTTAAACAACATACTCCTGTGACTCCTGTCAACGAGAGAGATCAAAATGACTCTCAGGCTTTAATACGCATTGGTGCCGCTCAGTATCAAAACAAATTTAAAACTATGATATGAAGGAAAATTCTGCAACATTCTGGTACTGCATGGACAGAAGCCAGAAAATCATTTCGAGTTAACTTTCAAAAAGCTTCTTGGTTTTTCGAGTGGTTGAATGTCATGGACTTTAGGGAAGTCATAGGGAGGACTCATTTTGCCTTTGGTGTTTTTTTTTGTTTGTTTGTTTTTTTTGTTTTGTTTTTTTTTTGTTTTTTACATAGACATATTTAAAAAAAAATGAAGAGATTTTCTTATTTTAGGCCGAAGTTTTTAAGGATTGACATTGACTGTTGTTCGAGGAGGTAGTAGAGGTTAGGTGTGTTTGTACAGTGAATATTTGGCTGGCATGTCATTTTCGCCTTTGCCTGCAAGAGACGGATTGAATATAGTGGTCAGTGAATGTGTTGAACATTTACCCGAAGAGCTTCAGAATATTCTTGAATGTTCTTTGAGCCTCCTTAGATGATATTAGATAGCAGTTGTGTTAAAAAACAGATTGCATAAAAGAATGGGAACTATTTGAGAAGGTGTCCATTGGAAAATGTTGGTCTACAAAATTTGGGAAAGGTTTATTAAAGGGGCATTTGTTAGGCCTGTCACATTTAATGACGAGAAGTGAAGAAGCTTGTCCTATTGGCTTATGGGGACATTCTGTGAGATTGTGGAACGTGTCTTATTATTTTTTGGACCTGTCTCTTCTGCCTACACTATTCACATCACTGCAGTATCTGGCTGTACACATAAGCTGCTTTGCTTGTCTGTTTGATTGGTCCTGCCTTCTTCTGGTAAACATTCAGGTATCCTGGAAACAGATGTGCATCTGTCAAAAAATGGACTTTGGGTCCCTGGTGTGGCCCACAGGTTTAACTCATGGTCTGTAACTTGAGAGCAGTGTTCCACTTGACAGCTATGAAGGCATCATCGTTTGCCAAGGGGTGGTGATTAAAAAAAGGGCCTTCTTGTATATGCATGTCAATATAGTGTCTTAATGTTTTGGTTTAATTACCAATGGCCATTTACAAAGGGTTCTTTTTGGTCAGCATCTGTACTGAAATGATCTAAACATCCAGTATGATAATCACAGCTTCTTAAGAACAGAAAATTCTGGACCATGTAATGCCTGGAAGGGGGCAGGGAAGGTTAAGGACCATGTGGCATATGTATAAAAATATGCATATTAACTTACTCAACCATGTATTCCATTTGGGAGGACATCTGTGTTTTTAAAGACTGAATATACAACAAATATGTTTCTTTTCAGGGTTGTTGACAATGTAAACATTAAATTATTGAAGTTGATTATCTGGTCTTGAGCCATTGGGAGTGCTATGGGAACCCTCAGCTTGAATCTCAGTGGGGAATGACTTTTGGGGCAATGAAGATGAAGTGTCTTTGCATTTAAATGTAAGGTCGCAGTATAAATGTTATCATACCTCAGTTTGCCTCTGTGCCTCTGTTAAATGGGTTTGGGAAATGGGTTCAGGGCTACCATATTAAAAATGCTAATGTGGATAATGATGAACGGAAGCTAGCAGGGCACAAAAACAGCAGCAAGCCTGACAAAGCACATGTCTTTCGTATGTTTTATTTTCATGTAAGTCAGAATGGAAAGATTGCTGTAGAGAAATATTTGATACTGTAAGTTCTTCTGTTTTGTAGCGTCCAGGTTCATCCTGTACACAGTACCCACATCTACTCAAAATCTCAGTCTTTAAGCTCCTCAGAGCAGAAGTACCATATGTGGGGCAGTTTTTGCTTTTTGCTTTCATCATATACTGAAAAAAAATTAAGAAAGCAGAAATGCTGATCCTAAGGTGATGCTCCTGTTCTCAGATGCTTCATGAATGCTGGGAGCAGGCAGTGGTTACACCAGGTGATTGCTGAAGTGATCTCCACGAATCTCGATGTTGCCAATACGACGCTCAGAGCGTGTCGGTAGGGTTCTGTCAAAGGCTGGAGCTACAGTTGCAGGTACAGGGTCTGCAAAAATTGACAATCATTATGGTATTACAGTATATGAACTAGCTGTAAAAGAATTATACGCTTAAATTAGTGAGTTCCTCACTGACTGGCTTAATCTCTGTCCAGCTAACTGTAGGTCTATATGTATATATGTATGTAAGCCTGTATGTTAATGTGATAATTAAGTGAGCAAAGGTGGCTGTGATTTTATTTACCTCTTGGAATAAGACGATTTGGATCAAAGTGCCATGCCATCCCCGTCTGTCAACATAAGAGTTCATACAGGTTATCTGTTCATCGAGCATTTCTTCTGCAATCAAGGGGATTAATAGGGACTTTGTCTACCTCTATTGCAGTAACAGCCTCTATTCTACTGGAAAGGCTTTACACTAAATGCGGGAACTCTCCTGTGAGGATTTGATCGATTTCAGCCACAAGGGCATGAGTGAGGTCAGTTACTGATGTTGATGGTTAGTTCTGGGCTATGATTCTTTATACCCCTCTAGCTGACGTTTGGCATTGGGCATGGTGACCTTATGCTCATGTGTGGCTGTTTCAGATTGTCCCACTCTGTTAGCCAGTGCTTTTCTATGGATATCATAGAAACTGCTGTATGTGTCTGCAATTAGTGCACCTTAAAGAAATTACAAGGGGTGTTTAGATACTTTTGGACATACAGTCCACATGCTTCTTCTCTCAAAGTGAGAAGACGCACATCTTTCTGTCTCACATAAATGCAAAATGTTCTCACCTCCTCACTGGACTCTGAGCTGGAGCTCTGGGCCTGATTGCATTTGAGGGAAACGATGTCCGTGAGTCTGTCAGTCACGCGAACTCTAGCATAGCAGCCTGCCTCCGACTGAGACCACCAGCCATGGAGGGGGTTGGGGAAGGGTTGGAGAGAAAGGGGGGAAAAAAAAGTGAGCAGTGACATAGAAGGTGGGGAGGTTCATTCTTTTGATAACTGTTATGCAAGAGCAAAGTAAACTGTGCTAGAGTTTAGTTCCTGCATGGAACTTCACGTTCCAAAATTTTGTGTTCTTTGAATTTGATTAGCCTGCTGTTGGCATGGCACCAGACAGTCTATTGCATGGACGGTTCATAGCATTCTGTCCATGCATGCTCCTCCAACCATAGCAGCAAGGTCCAAACCAGCACAGTGTGAACCCATCAACCTCTTTTTAAAGGTACATTTTACTATATAATGCAATAAATACAAACTGCAATATGTGTGTGTATATATGTCCATATAAATGCTGTACTTGGAAAAAGGAGATACTGGTGCCTGAAGAACTTAGAAAACATGAATATAGTAAAGCACTGAACACAAGAAGTGTATCCAGATTGCTGTAAACACTGCATCTTATGCATGGTACACAAAGAAAGCCGGACAGTTCTAGCATAATAATTTGGTAATTTGTTTAAAGGTTAATGTTAATATAAATATTATATAGAAATCAGCCTGCACATGGCCAGTGCCATCAAAGGGGAATTCCACAAATTTTTATAGTTCAATCAGTGAGATATAAACAAAGAAGAGTGGTTTGATGTGAAATGCACTGTTTAGAGAAACTTCCAGTCCGAGTGGTTCATAGTGGCAGTGATAGGAACCAGCTGTCCAAAGATTTTAATGCATCTGAAAGCTAATTCACAGAAAGCTTATACATTTATTAGTTAATAGTTACAAACATGCTGGCTGATTGCCTAAGTTTTAGGCCTAAATTGTTTTTTTTATTATTATTTATTTATTCATGGCAGAAGTCAAAGTAGCCCCCCTCCCCACTGTTTCATCATCAACATTACATAAAAAACTAAGACACGTGTAGGTTCACTGGTGGGTTTGGATAGTCAATAAAATGGCTATATTTGTGTTGTTGACATTGCAATTGCAGGTTCCTGTGACCGCCACTAAAGAAATCTGAGTCAGCGTTTTTTTTCTATCAGTAAAAAGTTTCACATCAAACAACTTTGCTGAACAAAGTCATTTAAACATTCTCAACCATTGAATTATACAGAAATTTTGAAAATGGGTGTAATTCCCCTTTAAGCACCCATTAACATTGATCTTTATGCTGTAAAGTCAATTTGAAAGTACATGAAGCTTACTGCTAAAAAGCTCCAGCGGTAGGCACAGCCTTGGGGGTCCAGCCCAGAACTTTTCTGACAGTCTGTCTCCCTGATACCGAACTTCAGGATCATGTCATACACATTCCTCCCCAGCGGAACCACCTAGGGCAGAACAAGAGATTAAAAAATGAGCACTTTCTAATAAATAGTGCAAAATCTGCTTATTTTGTTTTTATGGCAAATGCACATAAGATAAAGCAAAGCTAACAGTCTAATGCTGCTCTTAGCGAATAATAATAATAATAATTATTATTATTATTATCATCATCATCATTATGGGTCAGCATTCTTTCCGGATTGCTTTATGAATGCCTGTTCACATCTTTCTTCATCAAACTGGTCATCCTCAGCCAGATTAACTGACCGGTTGAAGGATAGTGAAAATAATCACCGCATATTGCAAAAAAAAACATGAAATAATAAACAGAAAATACAGCAAAATGTCATAAGATTGTGTGGCCTTCTGGCGTTCACATATTTGCACTGCAGACTTTAGGAATGGGGGTGTTTAAGGAAAAAGGGGTTTTAATGAAGTCATAACACAAGTCCCCTGATAAAATAAATGCTTTGCTGAGAGTGCATTGATAAAAAAAATCTGGATACAAATATTTCCCGTAATAGCAGTCGGGTGAAAATCTCTGACCTCTTTACAACGGTCGATGCATCATGAAATCTAGAATTTCACAATATGATTATTTTTATTATTTTGATTCAGAACCATCTTTTTAAATACCCTAAATGCACAGATGTGACACAGATCGCAGAGTTTACATGTGAAAAAAGAGCACAAGTCAAACTTTATCACAATCTAATCGATTATAATCAGTTCCAGCATTCTAACGTCGATGCAGTTGACCTGCACATTTTCACACTCCTCATGTATATAGCCTCCACTCACTCTCTTGACTGATGCCTTGGACACTCTGTAGAGGTGGAGTCGGGCGTAACGAGTGTTGATCTCGTCCAGCGCCATCCGCAGGGCCCCATCGGCCTTAGAACTCAGTTCAAACAGGGGCAGGCCTAAAGGGTTCAGAGGTCAGGGTGGTTTTAAAACACTCTGTCTTTGAGCTTCACCTGTTAGTCCGGGTAAACATAACTGTCCTTGTAATTTTCATGTTGTTAGTGTAAAGGTAGAGTGCTGGTGTAGGATCAGCTTTGGCTGAATGTGTATGAACACAGCAATAGCCATATAACTGCACTCATTAAGATTCATTACCATTTAAATGTAAAACTGCATTTTAGTGTCACTTTCATTTCAGTAAACAGTCAACATGTTTTAGTCCAAAGTCGTGGAAGCTTTTTGTGTTTGTTCTCATCCGTTTTTAAGCATCTTGGGATAAAGGGTAAGTCCACTCAAACTTTCTGCATATTTTAATAACTAAGATAGAAACAAAGGCATTCCGAGTGGTTTCTTGTCAAATGCTCTGTTCTAGAGAAACTTGGTCACAATTGTTCACAGTGGTGGGGACATCCCATTCATTTAATGCCTCTAAAAGCTCAGTTCAAGTCTTTACATTCATACTATCTATTGCAGTTTATACAAAGTACTTTGCATATTGTATTTTGTGCATTAATGTATGCATGCATGAAAGAATTCAGGAATGCATGTCTGTGAGTGCACAAGACATTTCTTTTGTGAATCTTCTAACTCCAAATACACTGCATGGCTAATAAAGCCGGATTCTGATCTACAATATTAAATGCAAAACATTTCAGCACTTTGAAGATTGAATGACTCACCTGAAGCTGCCAGACACTGCAGCAGCAGAAGTACGAGCACAATGTGGCACCTCATCGTCGTCTGTCAATCAAACTGGAGCTCCACTCCAGCAGCCGCCTCTCTTAAATCCCTGCAGTTCCACTGCCTCTGTGGCACCGTTCCAATTCAGCCCTCCCTCTCTCCCCCTCCACACTTCCACTGTTATGATCAATCGTGCCCATGATTAATGCATGTGATTATGCACTGCCATGATTAGTCATAGTTACTTGTGATAATTCCAGAAAGAAAGAGATGCACTGTTAAACTTGTTAGGAGTAGCTGTCTTTTACATTGAATACATGGACATCTCAGGGCAATAGAATAGATGTGGATCAATAGAAATGGTTCCAAAATTACTCGAAATAAAACTTTGTTAAATTAATGTACATTAAAGGGTAATTGTGTTGATTTTTCTCATTTTCTGCATGATTCAGAGGCTAAGATGTAAACAAAGTCATTCAGGTGTGAAGTGCTTCGTTCTAGAGAAAATTGAGAGTCAGAATTGTTCACAGTGGTGATCATAGGAACCAGACGTCTTAAGAGTTTAGTGCCTCTAAAAGCTCCCTCACTGAAAGTTATGTGAAATTTTGTTTCAAGCTGCTTTTGTCCTGAAACGTATTCGTTAACAGCCATTCAGCGTGGAGAGGTGCAACAAAGACTTTATAAAGGAGGAGACAGGTCACTGGTTGATAATGAATGGGCTAGTTCGTAACGCTCGGTGTGACGTCTGTTTATGGGAAAAGTCCCGCTCTTCAATAAAATAAGCCAATCGGCTTGCTGGTAAAGCCAAGCAGGAAAAGCTCCACGTCATTGTGGGGATATGCACATGCTCAGTAGCCAGAACAAGCTGGGAAAATGTGTTTTTGAAACGATAATTTGGCTTTTAGTTTCGGATTAATGGGTTTCTCCCCATAAAAAGAGACAGAAGTCTGGTTTTCTCTGAGTGCAAATAACTGCTGGCGCTGCCAAGATGGCCATTGAGTGGACAGACTTTAGATAGATACAGAGTGTTGTATGGCAAAATATTCCCCAAAGGAAACTTCCTTCACCACTATTTTAAAAATACTGAAGATGTGTAGGTTCACTGCTGGTTTGGATAGTAAATAACATGATTATCGCTGCTGTTGGAACAAAACCTTGTATCTCCGTTTTTGGCGTTTTTCAGTTTTTTACATAATTTGAAAATGCCTGTTGTCCTTTACATTGTCTATAAATTTCATGATGAATGGATCATTCCGTTGGTTCCATTGACTTACATTAATAGTAAAGAAGGTTTTTTCCTTCTCCTGTAAAGTTATCATTTTGGAGTTAAGAGGTTTTGGTCCAACAACCCCTGGTTCCTATCACCACCATTGTAAGGAAATCAAAGTCAATAAGTTTCTCTACAATGAACCACCAATTCTCCACAAGTAAATTATGCAAAATTTGCAAAACATTGGTGGAATTTCCTTTCAAACGTAAGAACATTCTTTCATTTCCCTATAAAATTCAGCATTCTCAGAAGTTTTGTTATGAAACTTAAAGTTTATTTATCCCCACTGAATAGATTTGCCTGGTGAACAGTGGTGGAGGACAAGCCAAGGGGTTTATCTTTTTGTTTGACTTGGAATCAAGCCTCTATCGTTCTCTCTTTCTGTTCTCTCCTCCTTTCCCTGTATGCTGGTGTGTTTTACTTGGCTTCTTTCTCTCTCTGGCTCTCTCTTGTCTAGACAACCTCTGGCATGCTTCCTAGAACTGCCATTCACTCTGCTGCTCTTATCACTAAAAACGCTTACACATTATTAGACACACCTACCTTGCTGGAACTCCTTGCTAGGGTGCAGTTAGAGACTATAGTCCATCTACTCATGCACAATTTGGCCCTGACACCCAGCCAACAAAGAAGAACGAGCACCAACCAAGGCCAACCGAGAACAGCCGTCCATTACCTCACGTCTTCCGTGAAACACTGCAAAGACTGTAGGTGAGCATAGAGCAAAGAGTACTGCTGATATAAACCTACATTCTGCATCTACGGAAAAAGAAATAACTCGTCATACCAGGAGGTGCCAGCTGGTGGCAGTAGGCAGAATGTAGGGAAACATGACGGTGCTCAGTGAATGACATAACGAAACCCAGTGTGAAAAAGTGAATGCACCACTGCTAGCTTGCAGCTAACATGACACTGCAAATCCCATAGAGGGCCAGTAGAAATTAGCATTATCGCAGCAGTGTTACTAAAATTAACAAAGTGACGGTTACTTTCCTAAATACTGCCATTTGAGGTGTGGTTGGTCCTTAGCTGCTTAGCCACCATATCCTACTCTAAACAAACTACAATCTTTGCTTTTTATTTGTTTTTTTTTTCTTTTTTTTTTGTAATATTAGGATAAAAAACATGCAGTATGATATAAAACAAAAATGATCAAATCTACTCTTTTCTATTGTGTGCAGTGTGATATTAATGAACATAAATCTGTTTATTTTTTACTGCATGTGTTTTTTTAAAAAGTTTGCCAACCTTCCAAAACCACAACTGTGCAAAAGGAAGTTCTTAAAACAAGTACTAAAAATTCAATGCTAAATGGAAGAACAGTTTAAATATACAATCTAAGCTGTTAAATACAGGTTTGCTATCAACAACAACAGCTGTCATACTGTGAATATTTAAAGGGATCTGAGTATCTTGATACTTAATCAAAAGCCGAATGTAAGTGTTTTGCTTTTTTTTTCTGATACATTGGTTAAACACCTCAGGAAAAAATCTCTTGTACCAATGCAGCTCTACCAGTATGTAATAAGAAAGAAAGCTCATTGTTGTGATACAACGCTAGTTCATCCAAAAGACCCAGCTCAACAGATAGCTAGCTAATAGGTGAACAGGCTTCTCCAGTAATATTCTATCAGCTTTTAAGTTTAACAAAAAGTTACCCGAATGTTTTACATGCTTGAAATGTCAATTTTTCAACTAATGCTGCAATAAATATTTAGTACTCAACCCACTGTGTGAAAGTCAACACATCACTGTTAGCTAGGTGCTAAAATAACAGTTTTTACTGTAGAAATTAGCACTGTCATAGTGACGGCCCATATAGCGAGCATATATCTGTCCCCTGGCACCCAACTGACTGTTTGCCACTGCTGGTCCACCCTCGGACCACCCAGATTACTGTCCTGCATACAAGCTCTGACTACTTTTTAATCTCTACAAACAGATTTTAAGTGCACAGAGACTTTTATTTTAGAAAATAAACAATGACAAATATTACAAACAAATGAGAGGAAAAAAACTGACTAGGCCTGATATAAAATGATTTTATAGAAAATGTTGTTGCTGACTCTGAACTAGATTAAAATTATTTACTAAAGTAATTCACAAAGTATAACTAAAGAAAGGAGGGAAGGAAAATCAGTAAATTGGACTGCGAGTGGAAAATGAGTGATGATCAGTGGAATGTTGTCTAATATGCTGCATAAACACAGGTGGGCTTACCAGAAAACGCTGAGTAAAATGCCAGTGGACCACAAGCTTTGCCATCAGCAGGCCAACAGTGGTCCACTATACTCTTGCTATCAGGGGGTAATCAAAACCAAAGTTTGGTTCATATGATAATTCATATACTAAACATTGTGATTATGCCCACTGGTACATGTTAATGTTTAAATGACAACAAATAAAAAAAAACCCTACAAGATACAAGCATACATTGGTCCACTAGCTGGATAACGTCGGCTCCCTGCTCACTGTTTGCCACTGCTGGTCCACTCTCGGACCACCTGTCCTGTCTAACTAGTTTTAATCTCCTCAAACAGATTTTACATGTACCAGACTTTAATTTTAGAAAATAAACAGACAAATATTACAAAAAACTGAGAGAAAAAAATTTATGACTAGGTGTAATATAAAATGATTTTATAGAAAATGTTGTTGCTGACACTGAACTAGATTAAAATTGTTTACTAAACAAATTTACAAAGTATAACTAAAGAAAGAAATGAAGGAAATATAAGTAAATTGGACTGTGAGTGGAAACTGAGTGATGATCAGTGGAATTTTGTCGAATATTCTGCTTAACCACCGGTGGGCCGCCTGGAAAACGCTGAGAAAAACGCCAGGGGTCCACCAGCTTCAGCTGGCCAATAGTGGCCCACTATCCTCAGGGGACTGGAGTATTCCATGCTTAATGTAACGCTGGGACGGCTGTTAGGATGCCTGATTACTTTCGTAGTTCTCATGTGGCCTTTATTTATTTATAACAAAATATTTTATATATCAGACAGTCGACTGCCAGCTTGGTGTGTTAGGGATGTTAGCCATCTTCTAGACCTTCATCACCCTGCTGAAAAAACTGGCTGACCGGCATACAGTATCCAAAACACAACACATGCTAATTTTGCTAGTGACCAGCCATAATGGTGTATGCTGGTTTTTCTAACCGGACAGTGGTCAGTTTCTGACCTTACTGCCACTAGCTGGGTATTTTGGTGACAGACAACCGCTGTGCCTGACACAGTCATACCACCATCACATACACTACCATGTCAGTGTGACTGAGGTGCTGAGAATGATCCACCACACAAACAATACCTGGTCAGTGGTGGTTCTATCATGATTCTCGGTGGTAGGTGGACCTCATAGATTGGCAATTCAGTGTGGTGAGCCCAAGGCCTTAGCCAAGGCTGGTTCAGGAAAGAGGGCACGAGAGAGGAAGAGCGAGAGATAAGAGCAATAGATTAGGTAAATACCAACAGAGCAACAGATTAACCAGTACCCAGGAGTTCAGCTGCTTTTGCTGAGGTTGTGTAATATCAATAATAGGAATCAATATTGTGTAATAGGCATAAACTATTCCCAGCTGTGCTTTCCTACAGATAGCACACTAGTTGAACATACTAATACTGCATGATACAGACAGAGTACCATATTATGCAAATATCGTCACATTATTGCAGTCATGATATAAGAAATTAAAAGCACACTGACGTAATAGCAGTGGATGCATTATTTACACCAATTTTTTTGCCATTGTTGAATTGTTTAAATCCTTGCTCATGTGCACAATGTAGCCTTTTGCTATAGCCAATATTGCGATTAACCAACAACGTACTGTGCAGCCCTAATACCTGCTTATAGCTCAGATGGTTTAACACACGCATAACTTTTTAATAGAATTTCGAACTTATGGCTTATGTGGTTGTTTATATAAGCATTATAAATCAGTACATATTTGCATTTAAGAGATGTACCTATTATAGAGATGAATTTAGTCCTTGACTACAGACCTAAAACCTAGTGTTACACCTTTTGTCACTTTTCCAACATTCTTATGTCTTTGATCTTCAAAACTGGACAGATGACATCATCCAAAGCCAGACTTTCTTCATATAATTTATTGTAAACAATCTAATAAATATGACTTTTGTATCAGTACACGTTCGCATTCATTCTGATTGTTTTCAGTGATAAACCCCAGTGTTCCAAAATATATGCTAAAGACTTTTCCTCAAGGATAAACCAAAAAGGGGGGGAAACTATCAAGTAATCACTATTAGGCAGGTGCCCTACAATGAGTTAAGGAAGGACCGCTGTAAGCAGTCTCTGATGCAAGCGGGAGCAAGAACAAATTAAGCCAAAGGCAGAGAAAAAAGTTACATATAAAGACCAGCAATGCAGCAGCAGCAGGTAGGACTGTGTTCTGAGACAAAACAAAACAAACAGTGTCCTTTTGTTTGTTTGCAGTTTGTGTGCACTGGACTCAAGACAAGGTCGGTCAACTTTTCCCTGCTTTCCACTGTGCCCCTGTACAGTTGATCCATGACCAGATTCTGTTATAATGGCTAAAGGACGGTTTGTACGTACTATGAAACTAGATCTGGTAGTTAGGCAGCTCCTTGAAAAGGGATCCTCCAGCATTTGCTTCATTAAAAAGCAGTCCCTGTTACTTTAGTGTTTCCTAAGATTTCCAAGTATCTCAGGCAGGGGCCTGTGAAATCTCTGGCCACTATGCTGGCCAGTCTTCTCTCTGACAGAGCAAACAGTACAGATTTACAGCCTGACAAGAATGCATGACAGTGTTTCTTATTAACATACGGAATTCAGCAACTGCCCATTGGCCTCCGTTATAATTGTGTTTCAGCACTTTTTCTGTTCTTTTGTAACGGCAGGGAAATTTGTATCAATTACTGTTCATGGTATTACTCCACACACACCCCCTACAGGTTTTTCTCTGAACTGCATTTCCCACAATTCAACTCCTAAGGACACATAACACAATTTTTCCACAAATAAAATCCACATGGATTCTCATGTATTCTAGAAGCAGAATGTTGAAAGTCTGTTCTAGAATGTACAGGAATGGTGGGTCTATAGGTAGGTACTGGGTAAAGGCCAGAGCACACCGAGCAAACAAACACCAACAAACCTAAACCTGTGTGTGGTTGCTGATTTAATGTCCCCCCCACCATTCACAACGTTCTAAAATGTTCTCACTCCGTTCACTGTTCACCATGTTCTAGAATTTCACCCTTTTAGCTTGTTGTACAATGTTCTTCCCCATTCATGCAGTTCTAGAATGTCCTTGCCCATTCAGCCTGTTCTAGAATGTCATTACCATTCATGGTGTTCTAGAATGTTTTCACCTAATAACCATGTCCTAGAATGCCACCCACTCGGTTTAACCTGTCTTAGAATGTTCTCCCTCATTTACACCATTCTAGAACCCTTTTACACTGTTCTAGAATGGAACCTGGCCCCACTGTCAACTTCCAAAACTGATGTTGACAACTAAACACTGAAGTCTTACCGTGAAATGCTCAATTAACAAACACTGTTCTGGCCCCATTCACACGGTTCTAGAACATCTTGCTCCCATTCTGAGTGTTCTCGATGTCTTCTACATTCCCATTTTTGAAACATTCTAAAACAACTGCCAACACTAGATTGTTTGTTGGCGTTTGTTTGGTCAGCCGTGCTCTGGTCTTAACCTTCATGAGCATTATGGATTATATGTGAAAGAGTCTACAGTAAGTCAGCATTCATGAGCTGTTAGCAGGGGAATATAAAGTCCCTTCGCTCTCTCCAGCTCTCATCGCTCCAGAGTGCCCATCAGTGGCTCCATGGCTGCCAGGAAAGACACCTCAAACTCGTGGTCGGAAAAGCGGGTGACTGATTGCCGTGCTCTTCTCCGGATGTCCAAGCGTGCGCTGGGTGTCAGGCTGAGGATCCGCTCCATGGCCTCAGCATAACTGTCCTCATCATCAGCCAGAAAGCCTGTCGGACCACCATCGTGTGGTACCACAATGTCCAGCTTGGGCCCACCAGATTTGTGGGCCAGGATGACCGTCCCAGCAGCCATGCACTCAACCACACCTGAGAGAGACAGAGCAACAGAGAAATGCTAAGTAAGACACATAACCAGCCCTTGAAGGCTAATTCGTTAGATTAATGAGCTGCACCACGGCTTAAAAATTACAGACTGTCTGTGGGCTTGTCCTGTGGCTAGTAGGTGAGTACAAGTCCTGGATCAAATTTCTCTTATTACAGAACAAGCAGGGATGAACTGACATGGGATTTGTGGGCCAATGCTGACATCTGATATCCTTCCATGTACATATCTGACAATGCCGATATATAAACATTTATAAAATGTAGAAATTGGGACTAGATCCACAAAATAGGACTACAGGGAAATTTAACACTTATTTGTAGACGATTACAGTCATATGGAGAAGTGTGAACACCCCCGGTCTGATTAAATTGAAGTGAAAATAAGTTAACACATCCCAGCACAATTACATGACAACAAAGACGACAAAAACCTAGACCTGAACTTTCCTAACTGTGTGACCTTTTACACACGTACCAAATAAATGTCATTTATAACTAGTAATCCACTTTAAAATGTGGATATTTTGTGCAGTACAGTTTCTCATTAGGTTGGATGAGATTTTTGGCATCATTCTCTAAAGCTTGCCCAACCTAGCGACAGTTGCTATGAAAGAATGCATTTGCACCTGGTGCATGGATAGGTCAATTACGCTTCTTACCAATGCCAAAATGTTCGTTCCACATGGTGTGCAGGCCGATCGTAGCCTCCACCAATTCCTTCTTCAGCTCCTCAAATGGAATGTTGAGTTTGAACTCCACTCTGTCACCCACGCCCAGCTCTTGGCACAGCCCCCTCAGCATCAGCACCCTGTCCTCGTCTTCCTGGTTCCGACATCCTCCAATCAGCACCAGTTTCACTGACTCCCTCCCTCCAGGCTCTGATTCTTTCCTGTCTAGAAATTTCCGGAAGGCCCTGATCTGTAGCTGGTGGTCCTTCTCTGGCCGGAACTGGGCCACCGACACCACAGAGTGGCACTTCTCGCCTGCATCCTGCTCCTCTTCCTCCTCCAGAGGGATGTCGAGGAACGCCTGGACGTCGCAGGGTGGGTACACCACGCTGGTGCGGTTGGGGGCGCGCCAAAGTGCAAGGATGTGGCCCAGCGTCCAGGTGGAGTTGACCATGACCACATCGCTGCAAGAGCCGGCCAGCCCGTATAGCAGCGCGAAGGCACAGTAGTAAACCACCTTTATGGCACTCAGCACAGGGTTATTGGTGATGTAGTCTGCGTTGTTGAACCTACAGGAGGGATGAGAGAAACAGTACTGTTTAAAAGTTAAAAATCAAAACTTTTTGGTTTCATATAAATTTATGATATTATTGTAATATGCCAAACCTGTGCAACGTCAAGGGTTTCAAATAATTTGTAAAAAGCAAAATGTACAGAAAAACCAAAAAACATTATAAACACTGGTGGAGATGACCCTAGATAAGTCAAGTACTGTGAGGAGGGCTGTTACTAATAGTTACCTCTAGTCTATAATAAATCTCTTAATTATTATTTGATTGATCAGCTAATTGAACCATTAAACCCACTGTCATTTTCTCTCACTTTACTCTCATCACAGGTACAGCATCATTCATAGTGCTGGTTGTGCTACAAGCGATTTCTTGTTTAATGGTGCTTTGAAACAACAGGAGCCATATCGCCACCTGCACTTCCAACAGTGTATGACAATCTGTCAGAATGGCCTCGTGTATCATAGGAGCATAACAGAACACTTCAAACGATGAATCGGCATGTCAGCTTTTTTCTATAATTGATGCTGACAACTAATGTTGAAGCACAGCAGACAAATACCTTAGAATCACATTAAAACTAGGGCTGCAATGCCACAAATGATACCACTCGAGTATTTTCCTGGTTCAACGCTTCAAACAGAACTTTAGAGCGATACCTTCAGCACCTTCAGCAGACTACACTGGGACTACACATGAGAGACCTATGGATGAATAAACAACTAAGAAAAGCAACAGTAAAGTGGAAAACTCCAGTTTCCCTCTAGACCCTCCACTGTAACAATACAATACAAGAGCTGTATGAGCGAGAGACTACAATCACAGAGAAACTGGAACTATTGACTGTGTGTATGTACATATGTATATCGCTTATGTCATAGCAAAACCTCGTATCTCCAAAATGATAACTTTACAGGAGAAAGAAAAAACATACTTTACTTTTAATGTAAGTCAATGGAACCAAACGTCTTTTTCAAGTAATTCTGGGTCATTTGTTTTGTTTCATTCGTCATAAAAATTATGCACAATGTGAAGAGCAACAAACATTTTCAAATTATGTCAAAAACTGAAAAATGACAAAAATGGAGATATGAGGTTTTGTTCCGACAGCAACGATATGTATGTGTGTGTGTGTATATATATATATATATATATATATATATATATATATATATATATATATATATATATATATATGATGAAAATTGCAAAATCGTTTACATGATGAAATAAATACATTCTGATGAAGCTGCTGTCCTGCTGTAGTCACTAGTAGAACAAAATGCACTGATTTTTTTAAGAATATTTTTTTCCAAGTCAAATTTGAGCAAATAAGACAAATGCAAATTACAATTAATTACAAAAATAAGGCTATTTAGTTTATCCATTAGACAGTCCCTAGTTAGAACAGAATTAAAGCCACTGAAGCTTTGTTTTTCTGCTAAATATTCTCTGTAGACACTTACTGTGTATGAAAAGCATGAAACGATAAAGGAACCTAATAGTGATGATGTAAATTTGGGTTATAAATGTTAATAATTACTTTGAGTTCCTCTCCCGGACCACAGAGAGCATGTCTGTGCTGATGGTGGGGTAGTGGACATAGCTGCCCACTCTGCAGCCGCCCAGTAGCGGAACACAGGCAGTGTGAAGGCGTAGCCCATGGAGTCGATGTAGAGGTCCGGAGTGAAGGCCGTGAGCGCCTCCCAACCCAGGAAGAGTGAGCCAATGCTCTGACCCAGCAGAGTGAAGTGCGGATACAGACTGGCCTCCACCAGGAGGCGATGTTTCAAGAAGACGAAAGCGGACAGGCCGTGGTAGACGGATGTTGAATCGGCGACGAGCGCCATCCAGAATCTGCTCAGCCGTCACTCCCTGGTCTCCGGTGTAGATGACAAAATCCACATCCTGGTACCTGGGAGATGAGGAAGGAAATTCATCAAATCAATAAAATAAGATCAAATGTGGTAGCTCAACTGTATTTTAATGTTCAATGACATGGGTCAGCAATTTATTTCACTATTATATTGTGTTCATGGCTAACGTGCTTGTATTGTTGCAAAATGACTGTTTATTTTAGCTGAATTTCAGTCAATTATCAGAAAAAAGCTAAATGAATGGTGATTCAAAATGCAACCAACAGGTGGCACAAGTCTGCACACAGTGCTAGGGTTACTACTTTAGCTTGTGACTAATGTTTTATCTTATATTAGCATTTTAGTTGCTTTATTATCATTTGCTATCTTGTAAAGCAACTTCTTGTTTTCAAAAGATACAATACCTTTCAAAATTTTGGAATTTCTTGTCATATTAATACATGTTTTGTTATTGCATCTACAGCCCCAATTCCAAAAAAGTTGGAAGGCTGTGCAAAATGTAAATGAATGTAAATAAAAACAGAATGCAATGATCTGATAGACCCATATTTTATTCACAATAGAACATTAAACAAACATCAGATGTTGAAAGTGATACATTTTACCATTTCATGAAAAACATTAACACATTTAGAACTTGATGGCAGCAACGCATCTCAAAAAAGTTGGGACAGGGCCGTGTCTACCATTGTGTAGCATCCCCTCTTCTGCAAACAACAGTCTGTAAACATCTGAGAAATAAGGTGACCAATAGCTGGAGTTTTGGGAGAGGAATGATGTCCCATTCTTGTCTGATATAGGATTCTATCTGCTCAACATTCCTGGGTCGTCTTTGCCGGATATTTCGTTTCATGAGGCACCAAAATGTTTTCTATTGGTGAAAAATCAGGACTGCAGGCAGGTCAGTCCAGCACCCGGACTCTTCTTCTGTGAAGCCATTCTGTTGTGATGGATGCAGTGTGTGGTTTAGCATTGTTTTGCTGAAATATGCAAGGCCTTCCCTGAAAGAGACGTTGTCTGGATGAGAGCATATACTGTTCAGCATGTTCAGTTGATAGTGCCTTTCCAGATGTGTGAGCTGCCCATGCCATAGACACTAATGCAACCCCATACCATCAGACATGCAGACTTTTGAACTGTGCGCTGATAACAAGCTGGACGGTCCCTCTCCTCTTCCGTTCCAAAAAAAATTTCAAATTTTGATTAATCTGACCACCGAACAGTTTTCCATTTTGCCCCAGTCCATTTTAAATGAGCTTTGGCCCAGAGAAAACGATTGTGTTTCTGGATTGTGTTGACATATGGCTTTTTCTTTGCATGATACAGCTTTAACTTGCATTTGTGGATTGCACGGCAAACTGTGGTCACAGACAATGATTTCTGGAAGTGTTCCTGAGCCCATGCAGTGATTTCCAGTACAGAATCATGCCTGTTTTCAATGCAGTGCCACCTGAGGGCCCGAAGATCACGAGCATCCAATATTGACCGTCCTTGATCGGCCTTGTCCCTTGCGTACAGGGATTTCTCCAGATTCTCTGAATCTTTTGATGATATTTTGTACTGTAGATGGTGGGATGTCCAAAGTCTTTGAAATTTTATGTTTAGAAACATTTTTCTGAAATTGCTTCATCATTTTTAGACACAGTTTTTTGCAGATTGGTGAACCTCTGCCCATGTTTGCTTCTGAGAGACTCTGCCTCTCTAAAATGCTCTTTTTTTAAACCCAGTCATGCAGGATAGTTGCAAACTGCTCCTCCAGCTGTTTTTTATTAATATCACTTACTTTTCCAGCCTTTTGTTGCCCCTGTCCCAACTTTTTTGAGATGCACTGCTGCCATCAAGTTCTAAATGAGTTAATATTTTTCATGAAATGGTAAAATGTCTCACTTTCAACATCTGAGTTTGTGTTCTATGTTCTATTGTGAATACAATATGGGTCTATGACATTTGCAAATCATTGCATTCTGTTTTTATTTACATTATTTACATTTTACACAATTTTGAAATTGGGGTTGTACATTAATAACACATAATAATAAAAACATAATAATAAATGACAGATAACATGCTGTAATTATCTATTTAGGATCATTTCTTGTCAGGTTATCTGCAGAGTTGTTTTGATCACTTTTAAAATACAAATAATTCTGGGTATTCATTTTATTTTACCTTTATTCTCGATGTTCTACAGCTTTCTCAGTCATTTCAGAATCACCTACAGAACTGTTCATCATTCTGGATACATAAAATCTCTTGACTTATTTATTATTATTTTTATAGCTTCCTAAAGCAGATGTGCTCCTGCACTGAAGCATGTAGTTCAAATGCTGGTTCAATCAGTAAATACTGACTTGGACATTAACATATGTGACACGTACCTATTCTGCAGGGCTCTTATAGCACACCACAGCACTCTCTCTCCTCCACCTCCAGCGTTGCAGTACGGGGTGGAAGAATGCGACGGCAGGCCGTCCGTCTTGAGCTCTCCGCGCTTTCCTGTTGGACTGGAGCCACGCCCGCACTCCCACGATCAGCAGGAACAGCAACCCCGTAAGAACGAGGCACAGGCAGAAACACGGCAACAGCAGAGACCACAGCAACCTGCAAAACCCAGACACATGAAGCAGTTCAGACATACCACGTCATGGGCCATGGCAAATTAAGACGCATCATGATACATCCGTCTGAAGGGGATGATTCAGCTGCATCTAAATTGGAATGCTGGAATTGATTATGATTGTTTATAATAACAATCAATAAGGTAGGGGCTCATTTTTGTGCCAAAATGTGTTTTCAGGCCATTTTCAATTGTAAAAAGGCAAAAAGTCTACTGGTACTGTTTATATTCCACTACTCCAGGCACATTTTGGTTTTGCATTTTTTTTTAAATAATTTTCATCATACTTAATCACACTAAATCATGATGCTTTAAATCTTTTCCTAAAGGATCAAAGAGGTCAGAGATCAGCAGGTAATTAAAGGTAATAAACCGTCCTATGAACATGAAATATGATATATACTGGGGGAGACAGTGGCAGAGCAGAGAATTGTTATCCTAAATATCATGTTTTTGTTTTTTTTTGATAATCAGAAATGATCAAAATCATCACATTTCCAGATTCTTTCATGCCTGGAAATGAGTGCTTTCAAATACCAGGCTCTTCCAGACCAACACATGAGCCTAACTTCTCTTTTTGGTCCTATCATGGGTTTTGTTCATTGAAAGAATGAGAACTGTTAGATATAGACTAGACCTAGACTAACCCTAGACCATAGAAAAATTACAACGTCCTTTTACCATCAGCACTGCATTTCAGTCCAAGACTAGTCTTAACCCATGTCCAGAAAATGGTCCCTTTATATCCAAAAAATATCCAGACACCCCTTCTGTTTAGTAAATTCAGCTAGACGTTCTGGAGCAGCTGCACACGAGTCTAATATTATGGGTTTGGGTGATATGGCAAAAATGTTATATCACAATACTGCAAGACATTTTCACAATACATAATATGCATGACAATATTAAGTTTTCTGAGATTTAATAAGTTGTTTTGCCGTGCATAGAAAATACTATAATAATAATAAAAAACCTACAACTACAATGATTTTTTTTCACTATTTTACAAACTACACTGCAATAAATACAATTAAATGGGCCAAATTATGCTCACTCTGTAATGAAACATGTAGTCAGTCTGTGTTCTTTAAGTAAAATCCTCAGAAAATGCTCAGACATGCTCACTAAAGTTTACTGTCACATATGCGATAACGATAAAATATCGTCATACCGCCCACCCCTGCCTATGTTCACCATGCCCAAAGCCAAACGTCAGCTAGACGGGTACAAAGCCCCCCAGCCTTGGGCTGTGGAGCAGCGGAACTGTGTTCTCTGGAGTGATGGAACTCCACCCAGTACCTTTGGGATGAGCTGGAGTGATTCAGACCTAATCATCCAACATGAGTAATGCTCTTGTGGCTGAATACAATCAAATCCTCACAGCGATGTTTAGGGTAAAGCCTGCCCTTAATTAGAGAAGAAACGATACACGAGCAACAGTGTTTGACTCTTATTTCCGTTCCACCTTAAATGGCCCCACAGTTTCATTCTGGTGCTTGTACACGCGCCAGAATGTAGAACGAAAGTGCGGCGTCATTTAAGGTGGACCGACAAATTAAAAGAAGAGTAACTGAACTGCGCAACCTTTCAGAAAATGAAAGCTCTCATGTTATACACATCTGTTATTACTACACTGTTATTACTATGAATATGTTATAGTAAGTCCTACCTGATTTTAAACATAATCAGATCTAAAAGTCCATTTAGTCCCAAAAAAGGAAACAGTCAGAGTTGTAAGTGAATCAGCTAAAGAACCCGAGTCACCATCACCACAACAGCCTTCAGTGGATCAGCAGCACCGCCGTCCACTCGCTGTGCAGCGCTTAAAGGAGTCTGTACCTGATCAAATCACACAGACAGAAGGAGAGATGATCGTGTCCAGACATCTTCACTGAGAGTGACAACACAACACTCACAGCTTCCGCTTACCCTCCTCTAGCAGAGACTCTTCTCATCTACTTTAACATGAGCTCCAAGGGGAAATAGCGCCTCCGGCTGGACCGGAGTAGAACAGGTGAACACTGCAATACAGGCCCAACCATATGTGTTCATAAACACTGCAAATAACAGCCCCATAACAAATATACAGAAGTCTATACAAAACTACTATACAAACGTACACACTGTACAAACTACACTGCAATGAAAAGTAAAAATTATATGAAGTATTAAAGATATGTTTATAAAAGTATTTCAAAGGCCATCTGAAACCAAACAGTGCTTTAACCATCCATAAAAAAACTATAAATTAATTTATTTTTAAAAAGCTGTGCTAAAAAATCTATAAACATTACTAATAATATGTTTATAAAAAGGTAAAATGTATTAAAATGAATAGCTCTATACAAAAGTACAAGCTATAGGATTATACAAGATTACGAGCTGTACTGCAATACATATGTGGAAATTATAGGAATATGGAAAAGTATTAATGATGTGCTTAGAAAAAAGTATAAAGTGTAGATCTACAGAAATATATAAACTATATGTCTATGTAAAAATAGACACTACACCGCAAATAAATAGTGCAAGGTACAGGTCCAAAGCTACAGCTACAGGATGCTACAAGTACAAATGATGATGAAATCAACCTTTTAGCCAACTGTGTCTAAACACGTGGGAATTAGGCCTCCGCATTTAACCCATTCGTGCAGTGAAACACCACATACACACTAGTGAACACACACACACTAGGGGGCAGTGAGCACACTTGCCCGGAGCGGTGGGCAGCCCTATCCACGGCGCCCGGGGAGCAGTTGGGGATTAGGTGCCTTGCTCAAGGGCACTTCAGTCACATACTGTCAGCTGAGGGGATCGAACCGGTGACCTTCTGGTTGGTTAAGGCTGGTTCCCTAACCTCCAGCCCACGACTGTATTAATTATTAAATGTATTAAATTATTAAATGTATTAAATTATACTACAGATAAAAATGTGCACACTACTGCACGGACTATACTACAATAAAAAGTACAAACTATAGGATTATATAAAAGTATAGCTTAAATATCTAAACAAAGCTACAAACTATAGGATTATATAAAAGTATAGCTTAAATATCTAAACCAAACTACAAACTATAGGTATATACAAAAACAGACTCTACTGCAATAAAGAGTACAAACTATAGGTCTACACAAAACCTCAAACCTCAAAGTCTATATAAAAATGCAAATCGTAGATCGGTTGCTGAGCTATCCTACATGTTTATTAGTGAAAACATAGAGCTTTAAGGTTCAGTTAAGTTATCTACCTGAGTGGATTTGCTTTGTGTGAAATAGTGTTCTTAGTCTGTATGGGTGCTATATTGACAACAGCCTGAACAAAGCTGGGCAAAATACTGGTTTAATTTCAAACTGAGGCACTCATGTTTCATAGTAGCATTAGAGTAAAATAACATGCAGACTTCTCATTGGCCTTGTTAGCTACTAAACAGTCCTACTAAATGCTGACTTGGACCATAGAAGAAACGTGTGTACCATGTCAATTTTTTTCAGTGTCAGGTTTTTTACATGTGAGACATTGAAGCTGTGACAATGACAGTTAATCAAGCATCTCTCCCTTTCTCACGCTGCAACTCAAACGATGGCCCATGGAACTACAATTTGGCATGACCCAAAATTTAGGTAGTCATGACCAAATTGGGCTTAAAAACAGGCTGAAATCAAACAATCACTAAATCACTGCTGGCTTTAAATATGACATTACAGCACAAAATCCATAACGTCTGGGCATTTTGTGCATTTTGTGCTAATTCAGATGTTTGTAAACCTTTAGTGTACAAACATCTGGATTTGTTCTCTACAGTTCTACTTACCTGACGGACTACAACTACAACAAACTCCAGAACTGAACCTGCATCACAGCTTGCACAACTACCCTGAGCAGAAGACCTAAGCAGTTGAGAAATGCTGTTCGATACTGCACACACCATGTAATTAAAATAGCCTCTGAATAACTCACTATGAATGGTTCACTACAACTTCCATGAGCACTTGACTCGATAAAGTATTTGAATGAAGATGTACACACACACATGAAGGTCTATTGCATGCATATTTGCACAGGATTAATGTCTCCTTACATGTGTGACAATAGTTTTGCATGTACAGCCCTGGGCCTGAACAAAAGTATAAATTATAGGCCTATACAAAGTACAAAGTACATATTTATTGAAGAAAAACAAAGTATAGGCCTGTGTTTTATGATCATGGGTACAAATACTACAGAAGTAATAAGTATAAGTAATTTATCTTGTGAAGATTTACTCTTTGCTGCCATATAGCATTATTTGCAAGGTTATTTTTCATTGTTTATAGAAACACACATACACTATATGGCCAATAATAATCCAGCAATAACTTTCTTGATAGGATCTTTTATTTAGCATTTTTACATTCTGAATATTTATTTACTTACCTTGTTTTTAGGAAATGTCGAACATTAAAAAGGCATACTACTTTTCACTGGGGGAGGAAACCCAAGGTTTATCTTGTAGCTAAAGTAAACAGCTCCAAATCAATACCGTCTGTTTTCCCTCTGCTGCACAAATCTATGTTATATGTCCAGAGACCAAAGATGAGGGCTCTTGCTTTTCTCACTTTTTTAATATGTTTCTACAACATTATAGGGAGAAGTGACAGCGGACAGAACAGCACAGAACAGTGAGTACAGAATTTAATGTTGTGTTTCTCCTGCTAATCTGCTGCAGTTGTCTACAGCAGTTTTACAAAGTGAGTCTACCAGATTCAGTCCTCCTAATTATAATATTCAACTCAGAAACATGGGCATACATTTGTTGAATTTATTGAGCTTCTAGTATTAACCTTAAAAGTCATGGACATTGCTGTGAAAAAGACTGGACACATGCTAGTTTGCTGGACATTCAATGGGCAAAGTTCAAGTGGAGAATGTTATCAGGATTTCAGGCAACCTGCAGCCATATACAAATGCTTTGTGTCTGAGAGAATATAATATAATATAATATAATATAATATAATATAATATATAATATATAATATAATATAATGCTAGCCTAAAATGTCTACATTGCTTAAAATGCATGAGCACCACAAAGAGCCCTCTTTATTTTCTTCTGTGAAACAGTGATCAAGTTCTCTCCATCAAAGCTGCAACTGAAGAACAAGTAAATGTACTGAAGAACATATCCAGCGATAACCAGGTAAGAACTGCATAAATAATATGCTGTAATGTATTATTATAATTTTTTGTTGTCAGCTTATCTGACTCGAGATCTCATCACCACTTTTGAAACATGATGAATTCTGGATGTCAATTTTACTTTTACAGTCCCTACATTTTTTCAAATCAGCTGAGCAGCAGGTGTGTAGAGTCAGCCTCCTTAAAGGAGTGCTTCACTCAAAAACACTCACAGGACCAACAGTAAGTGTGAGTGACTGGAAAGCAGCTGGCATCATCTCTGCATAAAGATACTCAGCTTTTATCAGCCTGTTCTGTACGTGCTGCATCTAAATTTCCTGAAAAGAGAAAACAAATCAGAAAACTCAAAACAGGCTTATAGCAGAAGTCAATGGGCAGGAGCTGAAGCTCCTATTATAGACGCGTTGTGAGTCAGTGGGGTTTTACTGTTTTGCTCTTCGCACTGAAAAACGCATTGAACTTATCACCCATGGTAATCAACCTTAGACTACAGACGCAGCAAATAAAGCTCTGACAGAGGACGATTTGAAAACTCTAGGTATCTATTTTATAGGGAATAATTGTTGTTGTTTTGCTCTGTGTGCATAAAACGCTCCTCGAGTTCAGCCGGCAGACCATTCAGCCAATGGAAAGTCGCGCTGCGGAAGGCTCCGCCCACCCAGTCTCCATGGTAACGACTGTCAGTACGCCGTGTGTTTAGCAGCCAAGAAGCTTTACAACCAGTAACGAAAGCTGTGGTTCACTTTAGCTAACTTCACAGTTTCCTATCGTAATATATGGGTATTCGTTTGGACATGCAGTCTACTCTGTACAACTGATTTTTTTAACGCTTCATGTGTTGTTTGTTAAACATTTCAGTCAGCGGACTAAATTAGCGTGTTAGCGGAAGGTAATGACTGATACGCTGATAGACCACTGCGGCCGTGTCGTCATTCTGTACACTGTAAACCCGCGTTTTGTTTTAACTCAAATAAATGAAGTCAGTTGTACATAAAACTCAGTATATCCCACACATTGCTCAACAATGTTAAGTTAAGGGAACGTTTTTGATGATTTTGTACACCCAAATGACATTTTTGAGTTGAATTAACTTTTTGCTATTTAGTCTGTTGCTATGGCAACTTTGAAACCCCATATTCAAAAAATGACAACATTTCTGTTGGTTGAAACTGAGTTGGTTGAAAATGTGTGAAACTGAGTGAAGCTAAGTAAGCTGTGAAATACAGTTACATGTTTGTTTTGTTAACATGATTTTATTAGATAAAATGTATATTTCTTTCCAGTTGGCTCCCGGCTCCATCTGTTTTCATACTGAGTGTTTGTTTTACTCACCGTCAGTGAGCTTTCGATCCACCCATGCTGCCTTTCCTCAGGCAAATGTTATTTACGTACGTTTTACTCAGCTGCCCGATATTGTGTTGCTGGCTAAGAGTGAAGGTTATCATTCTCTTTGCTAATGAGTGGGCATTTGTGTTGGTCAGTGACCATGTTCATAGTAAAGGTTAACTCTTTGGTGTTTGGTAAAGTGATTAATATCACTTAAATATAAAACATTTCTCAATTGCCTAATGAAACATATAGTTAAATCGCAATTTCAAGACGTTAAATTAAAATAATTCGAATTTACGAGTTGTGCAAACATATGTTCATGTTACTCTAACTCAAGTTTTCATTACACATTACTTAAATTTTTTTAAGGCAACCGGTTTCCTCAAAATTTTTAAGTAAGTTCAACTTATCCGGGCCTACAGTGTAGTCGCTGTGCTCTTATGCCCATATTAG